GGTTGTGGCTATAATAATTCAGTATTCTTTAGGGCTCAGCCAACATGATGACTCTATTGCTCTATTCATGAGATGCAAAAATGCCCCCTTCAATGTTTCTTCAGAAGGGCTCAAAGGAAAATACGAGTGTCAAGACAGCACCACGGCCATGTTCTCCTTCCCCCAAATGTTCAGATTCCTTTCCACATTCATTGTCAACCAGTTGGTGAAAGCATAGTTATCATGCTCCAGAATGAACATCTTTTATAGTTCCAGTCAGCTACAGTTGAGTGCCTTTTTTTCTTTAAATAGTTATTTTTTTTCCCATAGGAACAAGTGAACTGCCACTAGCCAGTCAAATTTGGCTATAGCTTACAATGGCCTTCTCCAACCTGGTGGCCTGCAGGGACATTGGGATCACAACTCCAAGTTCCCATCTATCAGGGCCACTGACTGAGAATTCTGCATGTTGCACTCCAAATGTGTCTGTAAGGAACAAGGTTGGCTACAGCTGGCTTACATGATATCACAGAGGAAAAGCAAAGCTGTTTCAGAATGTGGGCAATGCCTATTCAGAAAGCATTGCCTTCTCTATGAATTAACATCTGCAATGTAGCCTAAGGGGAAAAATATTAATGTCAGCTTTTCCTTTCCTTTCCTTTCTTTTTTTTTTTTTTGAGCAACAGAAACACTAAAGCAGGATGAAAGAAGATGTCCCAAAATTGCTGAAAATACCTGCTTTAGCAACTGAAGAGCTCTCATCTGATCCAGTTTTGTACATACCTCTTCAAGTTAGCCTTTCATTCTTCCCTAAAGAAACTAAAATAGTATTTGGATACTGCAAAAGTGAGCTATAGCTTGAATGCTGTTGTGTCATATTAGAGCTTGTATCATGTTATGAACTTGGGAAACAGGAAACATGGTCATAAATTGCTACAGGCATATGACAAAAGTTGGACAAAAATCCTCATTCCTCTTAGCTCTAGGATAGAAACATGACTTAGTTTTCAAGACACAACAGCCCAGCATGGCTTACTTTATCCACAGAAGGTGTTGCATTGTGTTAAGTGCCCAAGGCACCATTTTTAGATGGTATCGCTGGTATTTGGGTTGCCGTGCCTTGTGTCCTGTTGTTCAAACCAGGCAGGCTATAGCAGTGGTCTGAACTGCTCAGCACAGATCCTGTGGGTAATTTAAGCCACTGCACGCTGACATGAAGTGTGAATCAGACCACAGTAAACCTCAAGTTGTTTTCATATTTATCCCATGATTAGCAGCCATAGTTATTGCTAATTTTAGCATTTTGCATGGCTAAATATAATTACTTTAAAGAGATATATAACTAGTAATGCTGATGGGTAATGCAGTGATATCTCAAATATTAATCGCAAAGTTGTAAAGTGCATTTTATGCTTACGGTTTTAATAAATGCTTCATATAGTGTCATTAAATGGATCTGATTTTTACATTCACAATTAGTTAAGTAGTCACCAAAATGCTTCACATTGCAATCCAGGCAGCCTAGATGATCCCGGTTTAGCAGAAAAGCTCAATTCTGCTGCACCTCAGTTACTATCTAATATTTGGCATATTAATTAAGTGGTGACAGGCAGAGTGACCTTATGGCTACTTGGATACCCAGCTCTAAGTGGAAAAGTACTCTAACTTGGACACTGGGGATCTGCATTTGCATCTTCCTCCCCATGACCCTGGCACAGCCAGTGCATAACAAATCATTCCAACTGCTTCCTCTTCTCAAGAAGAGATTTAAGAACAGGGAGTGGGGAGACTGGTCCCACCAAAGCACATGGTATCCTGGAGGTGTCTCTGCCACCTTCCCTCATCCTTTAAGGCACTAACATCGGGCAGACAAAATCAGCAATCTAAGCTGCTCTGATAGCAAGAGGAGCTGTTTTGCTCCCTATAGTGTTCCTCCTCCTTTGCTTAGGATGCTCCTAATTTCCGAAATTGGAGAATTATGGGTATCCCCATTGGATTGTGACCTAAAGCATTTCAACTGCCTTAAAACTTAAGCAGTTTTGAAATTATTTCCCTACCTGAGGAATTTTTCTCCCTTATACAGAAAAGAGTGTACCTTACCCTCATGAATTGCTACAGCAGCTTCCTGGTTCAGAATACATTTTAGACAATAAATATTAAGTCCACACATAAAGGCCATGACAAAATCTACAGCATTTCAAACTTTAATTATTAAGTATGGTATAACAATTATTTCCTATGAAAACAATGGCACTGAAAAACAGCAGAACATTTAATGCCATACAAAGCTTGGTCTGAGGTTAATAAAACAGTGGTTAATTCTGAACAAAACAATAGCATTAATAAAAGCACATATAATTATAAACATAGCTGCATCTGTGAAACCACAAAACAAATGTCAAACAGAGAACTCAGATAGCAATCATAGACACCAACTAACATCAATATAATAAAATTAAATTATCAGACATAAATTATTGTTTATTCTGTTAACTACAAGGTCAATGTAACATCAACATGAGCATTTCATTTAAAATTTAATACAATCAACATATAAAACTTTCATCCATTCTAGAAATGTCTGTTCCCCCCCCCCCTTTTTTTCAACACAGTTATGCTGGATTGAGTATCAAATGTCCAATTCTGTTGTTTCCATTGCGTAAATTTTAAGTCAGACATTTATAGATCATTCTTTTCTCCCAAAATTGTTAGAAAGTCACAGGTAGCAAGACTGAACTTAGTGAATAAACCACTGAAAAAATATCAGTAAATAAGGTTTTCTGACATTTGACAAAATGTAGCAGCAGAGAAAGAGGTATAAGAGTGTAGCTGGTCAAAATCCTGACTTCCCTTTTAATATAAAAGACTCTATCAAAAATATAAATATATTAGGCAATAAAAAAGAATGGAGATACTTCCTTGACACAAAGTTCTATCTTTATATTAACACAGATCAAATAAATATTATTTTACTTATATACAGTTGATCTAACTCTTGCTCCTACTGAAGCCAACAGTAGATAATGAGCATTAACTTCCTGGTGAAAGGACTGAAATTTATAGACACAGAAAGAGCGCTGAAGCTTCCCACTGTGTCTTGATGAAGGAAATAAAAGGAACTAGAAAACAGTTCAATAAAGTCTGTGATTCAAATCACAGTTACCCAGATATAACTGAAATAAATAGCATGTGCTAGATCCTGAAGTTAGTTGTACTTAGATCCCCACTGAATACAATAAAAAGTCGAGTGTGGCTGATTTCCCATTGACTTCAATGGGACCAAATCAGATTAAGCATCAACTGCTTAGGATCAAGATGGACAATTCACTAATAAGTCTATACAACTTTATTAGTAAGTTCAGAGTATTAATTGCTATCAGGAGCTAAATATTAGGACAAAAATAAATATACAAGTTCTAATGAACCAGAATGTCAGCAAGTTTCTACTGTACTTCCAGGTATCCTTAACTCATCCCTCTTTTTGTCATACTGAAATGATGACTCACCCCACTACTGGCAATTGTATCATCTGTAGATTCAATTTTTATTTATGATTCAGTATCTTTGCCCCATTAATTGGGCTACAGTTACTCACATAAACTCATGTGTTAGTTGCAACCTTGTTAAAGGAACTTGTAATTATGATTTCAGGCAGTCAACAAGGAAAATAAATATTAGGAGGCATGATTCAGCCATATCATGCCTACTAAAATGTGACCTTAAGAACCACCAATTTAAGTTAGGGAACTTCCATCAAAGTTTGAAATTTCCACTAGAATCAGCAAAACTGAAGCACAGTTAAAGTGAAGCAAAATATACCAGTTCTGAATAGTTTGACTGAAAATTCATTTTGCATAGTGAAAAAGTTTGCTGAATTCTTAAAATATTCCGCTTATAAAATGATTTAAAATAACTGCAAATAAATATTATACTAGTCCTTTGATATATTTAGCAAAAACAATAAAATATTGCTATATTTAGTAAGAATAATAAAAACAGTAACTCAATGGGAGATTTACAGCAGTATCTGCTTAACTAGATTAATCAACATTATTTTGTCTTCAGTTTGTAATAATAAGGGTGTTTACACTAAAACTTTATTCTTGAATCTTTAATTACAGCACAAATCATCAAGCCTAAATAAATCAATTTTAAATCCTACTGACTGGACTTTTCTACTCGTATCAGTGGGACCTAAAAGTGTTTAACCTTGGCTAGATGATTCCCTGTTTTTGGAAATGGCAATTGTAAAAAGTTTAATGGCAATATTAGTTTACTGACATTTATTGCCACAAAATAAATATATTTGTTTTTGGTATTATCAGACAGTGATCCTGTTCAGAACTAATAACCAAAAACCTACCCAAGCCCTGGTCTCTCCATCAGGGCAGATGATTTAAAGCTTCTTTTCCTGGTTTGTTTCAACCTACAGTTTTCCATTTCATTTGAACTTGAAAATTGGGGTTTGTTCAATTAGAATGGAATGGAAGTTTTAGATTTCCTCCCTCACGTGCAACAAGTAGAGAGCACATAAGCATTATGCTCATACTTTTAAAAATAAATCATGATCCTAAACAAATAAGCAGGAAATTGTACATGCTTCTTATAAACAATTACAAAAATATAGAAATCAGTAAAAAGTACTATTTTGACTTTTAAAACAAATTCCAAGATTCTTCATTTTCAAAACAGTTAGCAACAGTTAGCATCTAACAATCATTAGATGCTAATTATGATAAGCACCAACATTAGTATGCTTACTTTTCTCTAAAGACTATAAGCACAAATTCCATTTGGATTAGAGTCAACAGAAGAGCTGCCATTGAATAGCCACTTTCAGGTGAAGCAGTTATGGAAATGGGATACAAGACCAGGTATTGAACTATATATACTGCAAAGCATACCCTGAACAAAACATTTTTCTCATATTTAAACAAAACTGCTATATAAAATTGAATAAAGGTAAAAAGGTACAGAAAGGAAATGGGGAGAGGAAAATAAATTAGTGTATACTATCGTACCGATTTCCATGGTTCACGATGCCATGAAACTTCACCAGGACATGACTGTACATTACACTGTGCAGTACTAGGTGGTTTTTCCAGCACATCACAGTTGTGATCATTTAACACTTGGCCATTTGGAAGTTGGCAGATCACTAACCGTGCCTGTATTCCATCACCACATGTGTGAGTGCACTGTAAAACAAAAAACAAAAAAACCCACAACATTATTTTCACTGATGTTTTTGCACCAAGGTAAGCCCAGATACTTCATTGTTAATGATTATCAAAAGCATTTGTATACTGCCTGTATCAGACTTACTGTTTCTTTCAGGAAAAAAATAAATGGTATTAAATGGCCTTGCTCTTAAATAACCAGCTTTGCTTATTGAGACAGACACACACACACACACACACACACGGGGGGGGGGGGTGGAGGGCATTTCCATTACACCACATAACAGAGTGCTTTAAAAATAAGTGTTTTATACACATGGGGAAAACACAGATGTATGACACAAGATGGTGGGGAATGTAGTAGAAGGTAATCGGAAGGATTACAAAAAGAAAAAGAGGTGGATCAATGGCTTTAGCATCAATATAAAAAAGCAATCGTGCAGCTAAGGACTTTTAATATGCTGAAAGGTGTCAGGTGCACAACTTACTGCCAGTGCAATCCTGAACACAGCTATTCAGATGCACTGTGTTGAGTGGGGCTTACTATGAGGTACAGGACTGCAGGCTGAAAGTGTCAATCAGGGCACAGTTTAGGTGTGAGTCTACCAAGAAAGGCTAAGAGAAATCTGCAAAAAATGGCTATACTACTGGGATTATAGTGCTGTCTGACAACTGAAAGGTAAATAGAAACATAGAAACAGAGCCAGTCAGAAGGGGTCTCCTGGGCCATCTAGTCTGACACCCGGCTCCACTCACGACATGCCCACCATTTGCATGTCTAGTCTATCCTTGAACACCCTCACCGATGGGGCCTCAACGACCTCCTGTGGAAGCCCATTCCACACCCTCGGGGTCCTGACTGTCAGGAAGTGCTTCCTGGCATCTAAATGGAACCTTGGTTCCCTGAGCTTTGCTCCGTTGGAGCATGTCCTGCCTTCCTCTGCAGGGGAGAACAGGTCTCTACCCATCTCCGTGTGACATCCCCTCACATACCTTTATGTGGACAACGTATCTCCTCTGAGCCTCCTCCTTCTCCAGGCTGAAGAGACCCAGTTCCTTCAGTCTCATCTCATACCCCATTTAATAGCATAAATACTTATTTCGTTCATTTTCTTGAACAGAAGGTGAAGACAGAAGAACAACACATCAATTATCGCAAATCATCTTACTTCTCCCCAGCTCCCATAGTTCCATCTTGGACAAGGACCAGAATCACAATGGCTTGTGTCTGGAGGTTTCAGTGTCATATCACAGTTGCTTGCACTTCTCCCTTCCTCATCTTGGCATACCACAACCCGGCGGTGAAATCCACCAGCACAAGTACTGGAGCACTAGAAAGACACCAAACACAAGCCTACATGGTTATTTATTTCAACCATCATTGTCATATCAACCAAAATGACACATACATAAACCAACTCTATCAAATATGCAGAAACTCCATCAAATAGGCAAATACACATGCTCTACTAGGGTGAAGACTGAAACCAAAGTTGCTCTCATAAAGATTAAAGTGGGAGTCTCTATCAGACTAAACCCCCAAACATCTAGTTAGGCATCAGAGAAAAATGATTCAGACAATAGCACACATGCATACACTACTCTCCTTGTGTAGATACTGCCAAATATAATAATGTTGCTTTAAACACTCCAAAATCTGAGACTCCTAGATGTTTACACTGATATAGAAAATAAAGGCTTTCCCCCATAATATTCCTGATACTTTTAAAGGAATATTAAAGGCATAGAAGCTTGCTAAATAAAAATAAATAAAATAAAGGAAGGAACATTGGAATAGAACACATGTGAAGAGAAATGTCAGAACATACAACAAACCTTTACACATATTTCTGGCTATTACTAAAAAACCTCAAGAGATGCAAAGCCACTATTGTGTTGGAATATGTGAACATGTATGAGAGCTTAATGACACATTAAGGTAAAATAATTATAGCTTAGCCAAGCAATTTGTCAATTCTTTAGGAAGAGTGTGACTAGTAACAATTTATTCCATATGAATGCCTGCTTGGCAAATTGCACAGCAACCTTTCCTCCTGCACCAGTGGAAAAGTTAAGTAATTTTAGACACCTTAGTGGTGCTATGCTAGGGGTGCAATCCTTGACCCCACAGACGTTTTGGCCTACAGTTCTCATCTGCCCTCACTGGCAATGCTGACTATCAAGAAGAACAAACTTTTCATGCAAAAGCCAAAAACAACTATTAATAATAATAAATAATGCAACCAAGAGTAAATCACTGGAAGTTTTAAATATAGTTGCAGGGTGACGGGAAGTACTTGGGAAAGAAACAAAAAATAATCCCAGTGTCTCTGTTGCCATGTGCATACTCATATCTATGGCTTGTGGTGTATACTGGATAAAAGCTGGGCAGTCAACAAAATCATATTAATGTTTTCAGAATTGCACACAATTAAGCAACAGCTGTGACTTACCGCTCCCCATGGCCCTGTTCGCCACTGGTTTCCTTGGGGAGAGTGGTGGGTGTCATGCAAGTGATGGACCTTGTGTATTGGAGAATAATCCTGATGGCTTGGATGTTCATGTATATCCAGAGCATGGCGATAAACTGGCTGGCAGGGTGGCATGCTACATTCTTGTTCTTTTGCAGGCTGGCCTTCGGGATCACAGTAATTCTCATCAATTTGTTGATGGTGGTTGACACAGACAACTTGTCTTGTTACTATTCCATTACCACATGTAACTGTGCACTGACCAAAAATTAACCCAACATGTATGTGACACAACAAAACATGAAACATTGATAACCAATGAAAACTATAATTTACAATTAACAATTAACAGTTATCTACATTTGGAAAAATAAACGCCAAAATGGCGCCGCTTCAGAAATTAAGCGCAGTAAGCATTTCAGCCAAGGTTGAAAGCATTTCAACCCTATTTTGGCTCTAATACAATATAGGAAAATAAAAACATAATTAAAAAACATAATATTTACAGGGGACCAACTTCCAGCTTGCCAAACACCACATGGACTAAAGCAGTTTGAAAGTTCTTCTGGCCTGGGCAAATGGGCACAAAATGACTCTTCTGCTACTCTGCCGTGACCATCCCGGCAGCTTACATAGCGAGCATGGTTCCCTCTTCCACAGGATACAGAACACTACAAAAATGAAGCCAAAATCAAACCAAACACATGCACAGACTCATAAAGGCTGCATAAAGGAACATTTCTCTTATCAAGATGTTAAGTGTACCACTGTACAGCTCTTACTTAAGATTGGCACACTGGTCAATTGACCATCTATTTGAAAGTAAACAAATACAATCAGATTTTCCTTATTCTCCCAGCTCTCCCACTCGTTATGTGTCATTTGTTAGTGCAGGCATGAGGGTCGTTTGGGCTGTAGCTCTCCTTTTTAAGATGATTCTCCTGGTTTTTACTTTCTAAAAGCTTAGAAATGTGCACGTTTGTCTACTCAGTGGCCTTCACCCAGGCAGAGTAAACAATGAGTATCCAATCAAGGGCATTTTGGCCCCACATTGAATGTACTTTTGGAACCCAAATCACTGAGTCATTGAGGAGAAGGAGTAGAGAAGATAGAATTTGGAAATGAGGGCAAGATGACAGGGTTTTTTAATATATATATATATATATATATATATATATATACCATCCTTCTTGTAATATTACTCACTGGAGTCCATGATCCATATCTCCACTGAGTTTCTCTGTCAGGCTGTAAGACAGGAAGCGATGTTGGCCACAGATTGACAGTCCCTGGACAAGCAGACATTTCACATACCTTTGGGGAGAAAGTATGTTTTTGAAACCTTAGATGGTTGCAAAGCAAGGACAGGACAGAAACAAATTTTCTTTAAAGAAGTTCAAATCAAACACTGTCTTATTTCTTGTTTTCCTTACTTGGCTGTCTTTTGGGCGAGCAGCAGCATTGCACCCTCTGTTATCATCCAAAATAGCTCCATAAACGTCAGCCACACATTCGACCGCACGCACTTGATATCCATGCCCACATGTAACAGAGCACTAAATGCAAACAAGCCCATAAGAGCGGGACAGCCTTAGCATTCTCTCTCAACACAAATAATATTAGCACTGAAAATGTACATAGCCAATAATGGGGAAAAAACAGAAAAACCATCTCTTTCCATGTTGCTGTAACCATGACACCCCTCCTCTTAAACTTCCATTTTGGCTCCCTATCATGCTCCAAGTAATTTTGAAGGCTGTTATTCATTTTCCCCCCAACTTCTCCATGATTCTGGGCCTTGATGATGTCTCTTGCCCCATCCCATTCTCAGTCTCTTTTGCTCTGTTTGAGTTTATATGCCATCAGGCCTTCTACTATTCAAGTCTACACATTCTCACCCATATTATTAAGCTTTCCTTCCTCTTGGACATTTTAATCATTTGTACTTTGATGTATACTATATTTTAAATACTGAAACTGATGTTTTTACCTTGCTGTTTCAGTTGCTATTTTAGAATGTGATCCTATGCATATTCAGCCAGGGAAAAAGAACTACAACTCCCAGCATCTGCCATCCAATATCAGTCCCCTTTCTGTCTAAGTCAGCATATAATTTGCGCTTAAGTATTATGCAAATTATGCTATTTATTACCTTGAAGACTTTTCTTCCAGCCTCCCTGAATCCCTCTTTACATGATACCTGGCTCGCTTTCCTCATGGGACCTGGTTCTAAAGCATACCTTGCAATAGTGTGTAAGAACGTCTTTATACTCACTATTCCCCAGGCCCCTACTTGCCAAGCTGGACATTCCTTAGGTTCACATGCTCTCACTGAATCGGGTATAGAGTTTGAATCACAGAAAACGTCGTCCAGTTTGTCATTATTCAGTTGACACCAAACTTTCCGATGTCTTGTACCCTTCCCACAAGTCACAGGACACTGTGTGGTTAGAGCATCAGTGATGGCAAATTAATTGTAGCATTATTTGCTGAATGATAGAAGCTATTTTATAGCACCACTTTCTCCAACTAAAGCTAAAGATATTAGACAATAGATAAAATCTACATAACTGAGAAAAAACTAATATTGATAGAATGTTCATTAAATGCTACAAGGGCAAATTTAAACCTCCAGGAGTGGTATAAAAACATGTGAGCTTTTAAATAACAAGGCTTGCAATGCTTACTTGAAAGAATGCATTTCTGCACTCAGACAGCTGATTTGTTTTCTTCTTTTCATACACATACATTTTATTTCTGAATACATTTATTCACACCAACACAAAACTTGTTTAACACATATGCAGAAAGTTGCTAGATCGCCTGACCTACATATATTCTAGTAATTAATAAACAGCCTCTTTTGTTCTTACCTCCCATAATGGCTTATAGTTTATTTTACTCATCACCATAACAGTCCAGATTTTCCTCTATTGCACAAAGGTTGGTAAATGTGATGTTTGCCAGCCTTTTAGTAGGAGAATCCTTGCAGCAATCCTTGCCTATAAAGCTCACTGTCAGCCACCACTAAATCTCTCAAGATCAGATTTTTTAGAAAGTAGTTGCCGACATTAACATATACTCACAGCCTGTACATTTCCTAATACCATTTATTACCTTATCCAATATTTGTTAACTAGACTACAGTGCCACTATCACTATCCTCCACTACTCTTACTGGAGCCTTCAGGGATCCCCACACCTGGCTCCGTATCTTCCCTCCAAGGCCGTGAGGAGCAGAAGAGGACTCTGGCAAACTAAAAAAGCAATAAAAATGTTAAGGAGTGATAGGTGTGAAAGGATGATTTGAAACAAGGGAGTAAAGAGATTTAAAAAGGTAACAACGAAAATTACTTAGCTCAAAGGAGGGCAGGGGCCAAAATCAGATAGCACAAGGTATGAGGAAACAGGCACATAGGCAGGAGGGCCAAATACTTCCTATTGTTCATTGACAAGCTGGGCAGAACAAAATGAGCCTATTGTAGCCCACCAGGGGCAGGGCTGGACTGGGAGAAAGGGCCGGTGTTGGGGCAGCCCAGAGTAGGCGGGCGGAAAGAGTGTAAACTCTCAGTACCCCATTAGCCAATTAGGGGAAAGGAGGAGGGAACAAGCGGCTGGGAGCAGGGTTCAAAAGGGGGATGTGAACATGTGCTCAGGTGAACAGAAAAATGGAAAGGAAACCATTCCTTTCTGTTCCCTTCATTGCAATAAAGTTTTAAAAAGAACTCTCTGCATGCCTGGAATATTTTTCTCTGCCAATGGAAAGGAAAGAGTGATTATAACAGGAGGTAGCCCTTATGCTCCCCCAAAGAAGTAATCCCTTTGGTCCTGTCTGCTTCAGCATCATTCCAACCCCTCTTCTTGGACCAGCAGATAAAGATTTGCTAGGTCAGATTTGCTAGGTCAGGTTTCCAGTTAATCCTGGGGACAGATTGATTGAGAAGCAGGATTCCAGTCTAGCAAAAATAACTGAAGGAGGAAGAATTTGGCTGGCCAAGGAAAAAAACCCATAAAGTCCAGCTTACTTCCCTCCCTGGAAGATGTTTTAATTCCTTTCAGGGTTCTCGAAAGCATCAAAATTTCTGTGTCAAACTGTTAGATGTTCTGCTGTTGGGGGTACAGCCTATTCTTCTGCAGTATCTTTAAAAGAAACTGGGAAAGAACAGCTTTGTTTATTCATTTCACAAAATCCTTCTGGAAACATTAGGCAACTATTTCAGAAGTTGCTCTGTGAGGCGCTCCAAGAAGATCCTCTCTAGTTCTGAAAAGCTTGGCAAATTGACACTGAATCAGTTTAATTGTCCAAAGGTTGTTCTGAAACAGTGAGGAAACAGCTGTTCTGCTCCCCCTAGTGGCCTTAATTACTATTTTAGAGCAGCTGTTGGAAAATGGCACCGATTTCACAATGTCTCAAGGAAGTTTGGCTGGCTCCCAAAATAAAAGACTCACTGAAGAGTGATATGTCTTGATTATTGGAAAGGAGGATGCTTGGACTAAGTGGACAGAGAGTTCTACATCCCAGAATTACAGGAAAGTAGAGCTAAGAGATCAATCTCTTCACTGTCTTGACAGATTCTCCATTAGAGTTTCTTTGCTGATAAGGAAGCTCAGCCAGTTACTTCTTAACAATCCTCATGTGTTCCCTTTTCTTGTGATCAAGATCGCTGATTCACTTTCTTTTTAGAGAAATCTGAGTGATTGTGAAAAGAGAGGAGGAAGTGAGATGAAATAACAGAGTAGCTGGGGGTGGAGAAAGATAAGAAGAGGGAAAGAAACAGCAAAACAGGTGAGATGCTTAAGATGTAATTAGAAGGGCCTGCTATAAGGAGAAAACAAAAAAGGAAAGACTGGTCTATTTTCTAACCAAAGGCAGGAATAATCTGTGGTGGACAATACAAGGGGAGCAGGCAGTAGAAAGGGCTAATTTACAAGTCTTCTGAACAGTAGCAGGAGATGAAACCCACAGCTAGAGACCTCCTCATGCACCCCATTTTCTGAATGATTGCATGCTTGGGTCTGTCTAGACCATCCAAATCACTCTGCTATACATTAGCAAGGTCTTCAGTAAATAACCACTCTTCTTTGGTGTTTATTAATATAGATAATGGCCACTATGTCAACTCAAAATATATTTCAAGTAAAAAAACAAAGTGAAATCAATCTAGGTGTGTTACCTCACTCCAGTCACTAACAGTCCAGGTGGGGCACAAAAACTCATTGCAGCTCTGAGTAACTATCTTTGCAAGTTCATGGCATTCTCTATCAGCAAGCCGGCGGCCAAAGCTATTCATACAGAAAGCTTCTCTGGTCTTTGAACCATGTCCACAGCTCCTAGAACACTGGTTTGTTATGAAGAGCAAAAATTGAAAATGAAAACCCCAGCAAAAAGACAAGAACTCTGTCATCACAAACATAAAATACAGTCTGGCAAGATTAAAGATGAAAGTTCCAATTAAATCTGGGTTTCATTCAGTGCATCTACAGCAGCTTCAGATTGATAAATTTAGCACCTTGTTTCTCAGTTGCATAACCTATTGTAGGTACATTGAATGGATAATAATCAGGGCTTTCAATTATTCAAACTTTCAATTTCTCTCAATTGTATTGTTTAAAATGGATCATGAAAGAGCCCAATATCTCTACACACTGAGTCCACGTAGAATGTAATTTACCAAACTTCATTTTCAAATCATGTCTATAGCTTGCTATGAGGAGATGCCAGAAAATCTACAGTTTTTTATCTGTGGGTGGGAAAGGTCAATGATATCTCACATTATTTATTGTCATGCCCTTTATATCAAAACCTTAGCAGGGTTTCCTTGAAACAGTTGTTGGCATCTTTGCAGGATTAAAAAAAAGTATTGATGTGAAGATGTTGTAAGATTGCAGTCCCTATGTTATATAAATCTGATCTGTTTGCAAAATTCATGAAACCTATTAATGAAGCCAATGACTACCATTACAGCTGATTGTGCAGGTGCTCTGTTAATACAACTCATCCTTTCTGTTCTGCTTTTACATGATGTTTAAGTGATCTTCTTTGTACTGGCTATTAGTCACATACAATAAAATGTTTCACTAACAATTAGGCATAAACAACTGAGATTTGAACATTTCGAAAAACATCTTACTTATAAACCTGTCTAATACTTTACTCAAAAATGAACCCTTCAGTTAATTATCCACACAAACTCAGACTACAACACATACATTAATCTAAAAGCAAATAATAAAACTACAAGATATATGCAGTTACCTCTGACCATCCTGTGTAATGCCAGCTTGTTTGAAGACAGTCTCCGTGACAGGTTTCTCGGATTGGTGGTTTCTGCTGATCTGCACAATATTTATCATCCACTGGAACACTCAGTCCTTTTGAAACAGAGTACTTCATACAGTGGATGTCTAAAGACCGAAACCCTGGGCCACACCGAGTTGAGCACTCACTTTTGCCAAAGTTATGCCACCTATAAGTATAAACTATTATATAAAACTAAATATGTTTTAGTGTGTAAAGGTAACCTAAATGATGAAGGCATCTAAATAGCATGAGGAGCAAGCATATTTCTATTTCATATTTTTAACAAAGCATTTTTTGTACTTTTTATTAGTGTTATTTTTAAAACACCAAATTAAAAGCAATTCAGAGCCACTTAAGTAAATCAAATGAAAAGTCTCAAAGCAGTGATTTCAGTGAATCTGTGAATCACACACCATAAATTATTTCAAAGTGACTAAAGTCAATGCAAATGCATTTGTTAAATAAATCCTAAGCTATGTACAACTGTTATGAATGTACATGAGCTAATGTACAGTCTCATGAACTAATGAAGCAGTATTTAACACCAGCCCACTTACAAGCCCCACCCAGTTTTTACCTTAATTCACATTCTATATTACAATGTTCTGTTACAGCTGTGGGTGGTGTTGTATGTGCACATTTTTGGTCATGCACCACCAAATGGTCACTCTTTCGTATGCATTTAATCTTCCTTTTGCGAAGACCTTAAACAGAATATTTTGAAAAAAAATGCAGAACAGTATGGAAGAAGGTGTTATTTTGCTGGAAAGAACAACTCAAATCTCATCACAGTTTTCAAGCAGTATTTTAATTTTATTCCTCACCGTCCCTACTGAGTTAATTGTGGAATGGGAAACTGTTGAACATGGGGCACAAAAGATCAAGGATGGTTATACTGCTGTGAAATGTAGCACAGCCAGCAGCAGCTGTTCTGAAGACATGATCCCTACATTAACCTTTCCCGAAAAATTCAGGCCAGCCAAGATGATCATTACTGGAGGGGTGTGCCTTGTAACAATGGACATTCGACATGCCCAACTGGCAGAAGTAGCAGCATCCTTAGCCCAACTTGGTTTGTCATTTAATGTTTAAGAACATATCAAGATGCTTTATTATTGAAGCCAAAGACTCCCAATGTTCTCTTGTTCATAATAAATGAAATGTAATCTATCCAATAGATTTGCCTTGGATGGATCATTTTGGTATATTGGACTAGAAATATAATTTCTATTAGTGGTTTCATGATTTTAAATGGGAAATAATAGAATTTGCTTATAATTTTAACTGTAAAGTCATTACATTGTAAATGATAAAACTAATATTGGCCAGGGCGACTTCTTTTATATTTTATATTTTTTATTTATTTTATATTGTTAATTTTAAATTTATATTGTTATTTTTGTATTTTATTGTATTTTGTTGTGTTGTAAGCCGCCCCGAGACTTCGGCAAGGGGCGGCATAGAAATGTTCTAATAAATAAATAAATAAATAAATATCAATATTTGCCAGACTCATGTATATGGTGCCATAGTCAAACCATAGTGAGCTCAAAAAGAAATAGTGTAATGGATCACACAAGTGTATCTCTTCTGTTCTATCTTGTAATATCTCAAATATCACATTAGGAGGTAAAAAACAAAATACCTTGACACATTTTGTTGCAGTCTTGCCAAACTCCATATGGATCCCATATAAAAAGATCTTTCTCTTCCTCTATAGGAATGTTGAATGAATAATGAATATCAGGGCTGTATAGATTCCCTACACACAACACCTGAACAAAGATTTTAAAAACTGTTTTTCAATGAATTTTTCCTTATAAAATGAATAAAAAAGACCAATGCTGATCATTCATTAAAAATATTAAAGATTCACCTGCAAGAGGATGTCTTCTTCAAGCCATCCAGTACTATTTATTCGTTCCACTGTGTTGTTTGAACCACTGTACTCAAAATGCGCTCCATATATATTGATTTCTCTTTTAGACAGACTTACAACAAAATTTCCATTCAGGAAGAAATTCCCTTGAGCATTGGATAATGCTGAAACAAAGTGAAAGTGACAATAATCACTAGTACATCATTTCATACTTATGGAGGACGTGTACTGATTAAAGTTATCCATACAGAGTTCTTTTAATGCATGCACTAGTGTATATGGGGCATGTAGTACCAAAACAGTAATATGGCATTATTTGTTGAAGTTACAAGAAGTACCAGAGTTCCAAAAACTAATTGGAAAGCAGGATACATGACTGGCTCAGCCTACATATGAGCATCTGTGTATGAGCAACTGGTGTCCCAAGTGCATAGATGCTGACATGTGAGCAGCTTCTTAAGACCCTGGCTTTCTCTGCAAAGATGCCAAAATCTGATTCTGGGGCTTGGAAACAACAGTGCACCTCACTTCCCAGTAACTGTATAGAGACCCTTTCACATCATTAATGTACAAGGCAGGCACAGAAGACAGGGTTGAAATACAGGAAATGGAAGTTTCTCTTCCACACAAAGACTACAGCAATGACCATATTTTTGGCTGGGATCATTTTGTATCCTCCGAGTTTTCCACAGGGTTTTTTTCCCATTAATGGCTTGATTTGCATAACATAGTGGATGTTGTTGGATTACCTCTCAGCTGTATAAGCATAAACCACAGAGTTTCCAGATTTCAAGGAATCATAGAAGGATAAGAGTTGGAAGGTGCTCAGTGCAGGACACAAAGTTAAACCATCCCTCTCAGACGGCTGTTCAGTTGCATCCTGAATGCCTCCCTTGGTAACTGGTTCCAATGCCGTACTGCTCTAATAGTCAGGAAATTTTTCCTGACATCTAGCTGGAATCTGGCTTCCTGTATTTTGAGACTGTTAATCCATTTTCTGCACTCAGGGATGATTGAGAAGAGATCCTGTCCTTCCTCTTTTTGACAGCCTTTCAAGTACTTGTAGAAATCTACAATATCTCCCCTCAGTTTTCAGTTCTAGAGGCTAAACATGTCCAGTTCTTTCAATCTTTCATTGTAGGGCTTTGTTTGCAGTTCCTGGATCATCCTTGTTGCACTCCTCTGAACTCATTCCATCTTGTCTGTATCTTTCTTAAATGTAGGTGCCCAGTACTGGACATAGTACTCCAGATGAGATCTAATCAGTGCTGAACTAGTAAAGGGAAACTAGTACTTCACAGTACTTCACATGATTTGGAAGTGATAAGTCTATTAACAGTCTAGAATAACATTTGCCCTTTTGCAGCCATATCACATTGTTGACTTCTCACTCGCACTATTGTTGAGCCAAGTATTATACATCTTGTAATGATGCATTTGGTTGCCTTTTCCTAGGTGCAGAACTTGGCATTTGTCCCTACTGAATTTCATTTTGTTGTTTTCAGCCCAAAGCTCCAGCCTATCACAATCACCTTGAATCTTCTTTCTGTCTTCCAGAGTAATAGCTATCCCATCCAGTCCTGTGTCATCCACAAATCTGATCATCATTCTCTGCACTTCCTCATTCAAATCATTAATAAAAAAAGTTGAAAAGCAGTGGGTCCAGAACTGAACCATGTGGTACCCCACTTGTTAACTCTCCCAGTGTGAGAAAGTGCCATTGATGAGCATTCTATGAGTCTGATTCTGTAACCAACTGTGGATCCACCTGATTGTTTTTCTGTGTGGCCCACTTTTAACTAGTTTGTTAATCAGGATATCATCGAGTACTTTGTCAAACGCGTTGCTGAAGTCAAGATAGATTATGTCCACAGCATTCCCACAGTCCATCAAGGATGTTACTCAGTCAAAATATGAAATCGTATTAGTCTGGCATGATTTGTTCTTGAAAAATACATGTTGGCTTCTAGTTATCACTGCACTATTTTTCAAGGTATTTGCAGAATGATTGCTTTATAATCTGCTCCAGAAATTTCCCAGAGATTGAAGTCAGAATGACTGGTCTGTAGTTCCCAAGATTTTTCCCCTTTGTTGAAGATAAGGACAACATTAGCCCTTCTCCATGCATCAGGCACTTCTCCTGTACTCCATGAGGTTTGCACATTACAACAATGAAGTAGCTAATTAAAAAGGGGAGTTAAGCTACAGTGTACAAACGTGGACAATGTCAACACAAGGCAGTCAAGCACTGATGATCATGTACTTTCAATGATTATTAAAAACATACTTGGTTTTCCTAGCAATGGATTTGTCTAAATATGGTTGTTGTATTTATTTATTTCTGTTGCCCAATAGCCAAAGCTCTCTGGGACTTTTATAACAACATGTTGCACTTTTATACCAATGTATTGCATTATAGTATATGGTAAAATACTATAATGGAGCTAACTTTATCTGGAACAGGAGGTCGGCCTATCCTTCAAAAACATTATCATTGATGGGACTGCATTTGGTATCATCCACTGTAATTTTGCAGCAATCTCTATTTTATACATTGCCTTGGGCCCCTAGCAGTCAGGCAGGAAATATAGGTTAGGTAATAAAAGTCTGAAGCAACACATCCTGTGAGTGCTCTTGAACTGTCAAAGAGTTTGTTCTTTTCCTCTTTGTAAGTAGAAAACATAACTTAGTTTATATATGCAAATACAGACTAGCTAGCAGTTCCTGTGGATCTATTTGAAAGAGTGAAGGAAGCTGGGTCATGATAATGCAGTTCAATTATTACAAAATAATAATAACAACAACAACAACAACAACAATAATAATAATACCTGCCACCGAATTGCAGTTTATATGGAAGTTCACATCTATTGCCTGTGGCCAGAATTGGGATATATTTTTTAAATCACTCTACACATATTAACTAATTTACCAATGCCATGTTGTTTGTGTTATCACAGTCTTAGGAATGGTCATCAATTGTACATTTTGTATTTCCCTGTACAGCAGTGCTGTACAGCAGTTTAACGTAAAATGAAATGAAACAGAATAAATGCATTATGCAAATTAGTGTCTTGCTCAGGGCATATTAGCGTTTCAAGATTTCTAATATTTCTCATGGGAAAAAAACAGTCTGCAATGAATTAACAGAAAATTTTACCAAGATAGTTGTCATCTTCCGGCTTCCCTGAATAGCTGTATTGATATATGTCCAGGTTTGTTGCTCCTACAGGAATTTTTACTACAGTGTTATAACCTGGAACACAAATCCATAGAACTTAGCCACATGGAAGATTATATATGCAAATAATACCTTTGATGAGAAATTAATCTAACCATTTTTGTTTGAGTCTCGCACAAATATCTCATACCCGATTACCACTTTCAAGGAGGAAGAAAAACGTTATTCAATATATATGGGGGGGGGGGGGGGGGGGGGAGGGGGAGAGAATGAGAGAGAGAACATGGATCCAGACATGCTTAACAGAGTTCAACTGGTGCTGGAGGAGAGGAACACAATGTGATTTCCTTCTCTTCCTCTGCAGCCTGCACCACCACCTATCACACTTCCAGAGCATTCCCCCAACCCTTTGGAAGACTGCTTAAGAGCACTGGCAGCTGTGGACTAAAGATAACAAGGGTGCTACAGAGAAAATCACTGCCCTGACCCCATCCTCCAGTAGGAAACTTCTGTAGAATCCCAAACCTATCCACAAATAGAAAGAGCAATCCATTGTCTAAGGGATAAAACAGGAAACAACTTCTTTGTTTAAAAAGTTAAGTAGGCAAGTTTGTTGTTGTTGTTAGTCACGAAGTCGTGTCCGACCCATCCTGACCCCATGGACAACATTCCTCCAGGCCTTCCTGTCCTCCACCATCCCCCGGAGTCCACTCAAGCTCACACCAACTGCTTCAGTGACTCCATCTAGCCACCTCATTCTCTGCTGTCCCCTTCTTCTTCTTCTATTGTTTACTGACAAGTTTACTGATTGTCTTAACCACAAACCAGAACCACCAAGTCAAAACAGTAAATTATGCATCTCAAAATATCAAAAATGATATAGTCCCTCTTTCTTACTAATTAGTCTATCAGACTCTATTAGCTTTCTTCAATTTTCACAAACATCAGCTGAACTTGGAAATCATTGGAATAAACAAAGCAGACTTTTGAGCAATAATCCTTTGTCCAAATTAAGCAAATGATTATATAACTCAATTAATCCTTGATTTAAACATAAAGCAGTTTTAAGATGGGTCTATCAAACATGACTGAATTGTATAGTTTGTACACAGAACCATATAGTTTCCCAGGAAAGTTAGAACTATTAATTAGCAAAAGTAATATAACACAACAGTCCAAAATATAACTACTCTTATGTACTTTGATAGACTCAGTTCAGTAGCAAGTAAATATGTTCAGACTCATTGCCTAGGGATATGACACTGGGTATCAGGGCATCAGTCTGAAAACAGCTGCGGTTTTCCACATGACTAACAAAAGTTGTATTACTAACACAGTCACTTGCTTGCAGAGTTCAGAAGAGAGTGGGGGACAGCCATAGGCTTACTTATCAAAAGGCATTTATTTATTTATTTATTTATTTATTTATTTATTTATTTATTTATTTATTTATTTATTTATTTCATTGTTCTATTGCCCACTATCCTAAGCTTTCTGGATAGTTCCAAAAGACTAAAACCTGGAAAATAAAATACCAGATATCATATGAAAAGCCCCTATATACCAGAACAATTTAAACAATTAATAACAAATGTTGGAACAATAACTGATTGAATGGGAGTCTTCTTGGCTTTTAAATGGGGGATTTATATCAAAAGAAACTGAACCTGCTTTTTCCAGCATGTTTCTTACATATCCAGCTTCCATGGAAACAGGCCCTAGCAATACCCAGTTAGTCCCAATACTGTTGCTTTAACCACCAGGGAAGTCATCCAGCCACTAACCAGTAGTCTTACTGCAAGCACTCATAATTACATAAAGTCATACCTCTAGTTAGGAGTGGGAATGAAATTCAGCTATTTTAGGAAACATAAGCTTATCTCACAGGTGCCAGAAGATTTCTAGCATTGTCTACAATTTGTGGGAATTCAACCAATTATTAAAAGAAATATTTAATACCCAACTTTTCATTTTGAAGTGCTTGCATATATTATTGGAAAAACACTGCTGGCTATACAAAAGAACAAAATCCAGCTGTAACCAGATATTCTGTTCTTTATGTGAAAGCCTGCATCACAAGGCTTACTGTGCTAAAGGTTACATATTCCTCAACTGTACAAGTTTTTTTCCCTCCTAGATGCATCCTTTTCAATCACTTTTATACCACCCAGAAAAATTTTGAGCAGCTGCACTAAGCTGCCTGCTATCTACCAAAACAAGTTCAAGGTTTTGTTGTTTCTGTATAAAACTGTAAACAATCTGGGACTGGACTACCTGGTTGAAGTACCTACTGCACTATACATTTATTTGATTACTAAGATCATGGGGAGGGAGGAAATCTATTGTTGCACTGCAACCTACAAACTGTCATCTGACAGCAACCTGGAAGTGGGTCTTCAGGATGGTGGTACCCTCTTTGTGAAATGCCCTCCCACTATATATGTGGCAGGTGCCAGCTATAGCACGTCTTAGGTATCAGTTAAAGATGTAATATTTATTTATTTATTTAAAACATTTCTATGCTGCCCCCATCGCAACAAAGCCTCGGGGCGGCTCACAAAGGATACATAAATACATAAATAATAACAATATAACAATTTTAAAAAATTGTTTAAAAACCCCCGCTGCATTCTCGGCTAAAAATTTAAAATCCTATTAATTCAAATAATTTAACAATTAAAATAAGTTTTAAATAAAAAGGTCTTAGCCTGGCACCAAAAAACAAATAACGATGGCGCCAGGTGGACCTCTCTGGGGAGCACATTCCATAGACAGGGCGCCGCTGCAGAGAAAGCCCTCCTCCAGGTACTCACCCTCCTAATATTATTATTTATTATTATTATAACATTTCTATGCCGCCCCTTGCCGAAACCTCGGGGCGGCTTACAACACGATAAAATACAATGAAATACAATAGCACATAATAAATTACCATTAATTACAAAATACAAAAAATACATTGATTTACAAATATAAGATTAAAATTATCAGTATAAATTAAGTAAATAAAAATATAGGAGGAGAAAGAGAAGGAAGAAGTTGTTGCCCTGGCCAGATCACCACACACACACAGAGGGTTCCCAGAGAAGGGCATCTGTTGCTGATTTAATCCAGGTCACCCCATTTACTACCTGCCAGCTTCCTTACTTTAAATGTTTTGACCGATAGCATTGTTTTAATTTGCATTTACTTTGTTTAAATGTTTTAACTGAGAAATTTTGTTTAAATATTTTAACTTCAGCCATTTTGAATTTTAACTTTTATGCTATAATCCAGTCCAAGTTTCTTTTAAAAATATGGTCAAACTATAGCTAAATACATAAACTGAAATACAGACAGTACATAGTTACAGATATACAGAAATAGATTGACATAGGTGTATTTTAATTGTATAATTTTATTAAACAAATAAATAATTATTTAATTGTATTATGTTAACTATTGGTAATTTTACTGTAATGGCTGCCCAAAGAGTGTGATGTTAATGGATGTCCTTAAACAAACAAGCAAACAAACAAAATTCATATCCATACCATAATGAGCGCTGTTGAAAGTACCAGCAAGAGTTCTACATGAAGAATTATCACCACCACAGGTACCACATTTATCTCTTCTTGCCTTAGAGTTTAAGACATGATCACAGCCAGCTTGCTAAAGAAACAAGTTAAATTGCTTTTACAACCACATAACAGCATTCAATTAAGTTCCAGCAATTCATTTCTAAAAAAAACCCCTTAACCTCATAAAACATATTCCATTTGTGTAACAGCTTTTACAGTGAATGTTTAGAGTGCAGTCCTATGCATGTTAAGACAGGAAAAGCCCTACAACTTTCAGCATGCTGACTGGAGAATTAAGTGTTGTAAGAAAGCCTTACCTTACTATTCCATCAAAATAGACTTCCAAACTAATCAGCATGCCAGAATTTATGCTCATGGCAGACTCTGTTGGTCTGACAATGACCTAAGAGATTTTTTTGCACCCTCCTAACAAACACACTATTAGCATGTTATGAAGTACAGGCCAGTAAATGAGATTGTACATGGAGACAGGAAAATTTTCATTTCAAAACCAAAATTTATCTACAAAAATCACTGGATAAAATGTGTAATATACAATAAATTTATAATTTTAGAAATGCGAAGATGAGGTTTACCAATTATGCTTTTTGCTATAACTTTCCCTCTTAATGTCCATATACTTGAATACCAGGACATGAATTATCTCAGCTACTGACCAGTATCGCAGCTCACACAACTCCTTTAATTTTCCATGTTCTCACATCAGCCAGTGCCCTTGCTCACATTTTCCTCCTCTCACACCCCACTCACCAATGGTGTGGCAAGCTGCAGAGAAAGAGTATCTGACAGCCTGTGTGGCAAAACAAGTAACACCTGAGAAGTTTAGTTTCCCCACAGTCTACTGACACTGTAGCACTGCTTGAGAAAATGTATTTTGCAGCACTTAGTGTGCACCATCACTCTGCCAGGCAACTAGCCTCAGACCTTTTCTCCTTCCTTTTGTCTTCCTACAACCTGCCATTGCTCCTGGATTTGCACTTTGTAAGAGAAGTGGAAGAGGTAAGGGGTCTGGACAGAGGCAGGAGGAGCTGGCAGGAGGAGAAATTCCAGACATGTTCCCTGACCTGGGCGAAGCACCTTAGATCTAAGATAACCTGACAGAAGCTGAAAGCTTATTTATCACTAGTAAACATACAAATTGCATTAGATTCAAGCACCTGTTAGGAATTGGTTCACCTGCGATTCACGAAGCACTGAGCAATCGCCAAGCCCTGATTATCAAGAGCAACAGTGAGTTTGGGTATTTCTCTCCCTTCTTCACACAGACATTCCATATGACCTTTCAATTTTTGGTAATAAATAGGATTGACACTAAGTCTGACACTTTTTATTAAACATGATTAATCCAAAGCAAAACTTGCAAATCCACTTTTGACAAGATTTATTTTGCTTTGACATTGAGTATTATTACTGAAAGTCATGATGTGAACATAATGCTAGGTGGGTCAAAATCAGGAGGAGAAGAGCTTGCACAACCAGCAATGGTGGAGATGAAAGATGCCATGGAACACTCACAGTCATCAAACCATGGTTGAGTATAGGTTGTCACATTGATAACACGCAGAGTCTGTTATCACTATGGCAAACTACTATTATTCCTACTGATGGCTATTCCTTGCTGATAAATAATGACATGACAATTTTATATGATCTTATTTATTATTTAAAATACTTCTAGGATGATCATCATATGAATGACATATCATTAAATACATTCCAACTGAATGAACTGAATTAGTGCATCTTATTGCTTCAACAATGTGGACATCCTTATTAGACAATTTTCAACAAGATTTGTTTTATTTTATATAAAATGAGTACAGTGAAATTAATTACCCTGCATAAACCTTGAACACATATATCGTTAGTGTCTGTTCCACACGGAGTACCATCCACAACTCTGTCTTTCAGCTGGTAGTAGTACGTTGCACCAGAAACACGGCAAAAAAGCTTACAGCGATCCTTCATAGCAACTGTTGGGACAAAGTGGCAGGCATGCTTTTGTCACTTATGGAATTTTACTAAAATTTACATTTAGTTAGCAAAGATAGTTCCTGCTTACTTACTGCCACTGTATTTTGGAAGCCAGCGCACAGTAGATGTTAGTCCATTGATGTTAAAATGTTTACCATCAAACTCTGAGCACTGCTGCTCTCGAAAATCTTTTTTGCCTTTCGGACATGTCTCTGTGTTGCATGATCGAAACTTCATCCGGCGGCCCACACAGTATCTCCCTCCATGTTTTGGCCTAATTAAGAATGCATTTCAAGCATGTTGACAACAGATACTCAGCATTCCTATTTAAACTAAACCTTCTGAAACAAGGTACTGCCAGAGGTAAAAGTCTTCCATTAATGGATACAGTAAATTTTCTTTCAGATCTAATTTATTCTGATATTATTTTCATTTATTTTAAATATTTTATACTGTCTTCCATTTACAAAAACAAGGCAGCTTACAGTAGGTCATAAACAGAGTGAAAATAACAGTACCTGACAAAATACCAGTGGGAAACTATTTAAACTACTACATGCCCCGCCTGGATCCTGACCCTAACCCTAACCCAAAACAACTTTAAGGACACAATCCTATGCATGTTTAAAGAGCAAAAAAGCCTGCATGGCTGGTTGGGGTATGCTAGGAATTGTAGGCCTTTCTGTTGTCTAAACATGCATAGTATTGCACCCTGAATTACTTTACATCCTTAAGTAGCAGTTACATTTTTTCTTAATTTCTCCCCCTTGCATACGTGAAGCAGCCCTGTGCCGATTTTAAAAGCCCTAAACCACCCACAGTATTGTTCTGATTTGCACATGGCACCTAAATCTACTCTTGAATAAATCTGACCAAAAAATGTAGCTATTAGACACAGGCTAAAAGTAATATCTATACTTTTGGGTCCGAAGCAGAATTGTAAAATAGATTCTCAATCAATAGGCCTTGCTGTGTGACTTAAGATGTGTAAGAAACTGAAAAGAAGCTTTGCAAGAAACCACTCACCGATTCACCTGAAGCAAATCCTTCTAAGAGACTAGATTGCAAACAAAATGCATATGTAAACAAAATGGAAAGTGACCCATAGTTACTTGTACTGTCGTAATAATCATTGTTAATTTGTTGTGCTTTCAAATACACTGCTAAGCAGAATAAATAATAAGCTAACTCCATATATATTCAAAAGAGAAAATGAAAACATACTCAGGTTGATCACACAATCTGACTGAGCTTTTGATACCGCCTCCACATGTTCTGGTACATGAACTGTAAGGTCCCCAGGATCCCCATTCTCCATCCACAGGGAGCTTTTCTGTTTCTTTTTTCACACAGATTCCATGTCGACAATGCTGCTCAATTAACAAACACAACAGAAGTAAAATTTAAAACGTAATTGTGCGTACGTAGAAACTGTTAACACAAAGTAAAACAGAAATTGCTAAAACTAAATCAATGTTATGGGAGCTCTGTGCCGGTGAAAGAGTATTTCCTGAATGTTACTTTCAAAATGTTATTAACAATTAAAGAAATTAGAAAACTTATCACCCACCAGGCTGAGAGTCTTATTAAGGACTCAAGCTTTTATTTATTCATTTAAGCAAGATGCTTGGCAATTAAAGAGCAATCTGTTCCCAACAGTTTTTATAAGGATATCTGAATTATAGAAGTCTTGCTGGTTAGGTGGGAGGTGCATTTAACTATTTAATGCAGTTAAACAATCTCAGCCCCAATTTATGTGCATCATGATAAATATGAAGTTTTCTTTCTATCATCAAAACTGAAATACATGCCAAAAGATATGTTGGAGGATTTACAATATGCAACAGGTATGTGTGTGAGAGAGAAACATACCTATGTGGAAAGGACAAAACATCAGCGGTTCCTGAAATGGCGTGGATGCAGCACTAGCATGGTAGCTTTCAGTCAGGCAGCACATGAGCTGCCTTCTTAATATTCACTTTCCCCTTTCAAAACTGCAATGATTCTTTTGATGAAGAACTCCATTCCTGACAAAGTACTATTTCTAGTGGGAAAGACTTATGCAATTGAAACCTGTCCATATGATTGGGTCATGCCAACATTAACAGACATAGGGTTATGGTAAGCTGTCCACACAGCTGAGGAATGTCAAAAAGGCATCTCTAAGGGACTTAGGCCTGATCAGATTCATTCATTTTGGCTCAGTCCTAATACAACCCACTGGATTAACCTCAATGATCATTTCAAAATTGATTCAAAAGTCAAGACAAGTCAACCTGGTCTTTAGTGTGCAATATATTAGAGGAACACAGGAAACACAAGGAAACATAAAAACATTATACTGAGTACTTCTCAGTTTATTAGATATGCTTCCAATTAGCTGACACCAAACTAACAAAGTCAACTGCATCCTGGGGGTGTGGGGAGGGGTACGGGGGGGGGGGAATCATTAGTGTTAGTATTCTGTATCAGCAGCACTTATTACCAATAGGATACAACCTAATAAACAAGGCTGTTCCAAAAAGGAGAAAATGTTGCCCTGGTTATATACAGAGTATATTTAGGACCCAATTTCTTTAACACATATGAATACAGGCATCAGCATAACTCTGCATGCAGCTGTATCTGAGAAAGTGCCTACCATTTTGTATGAGAGAACAGTCATGTAGCACAGATCACACTATGAGAACTGCTTCAGTGGAAATAATGGAATCAGTAGAAGAATTTCAGAAATATAGGACAGCAGTAGATATAAAGGTAATCTGACTCAATCTAAATGTTAGTTCTAAAGTATGATACCTCCTGCAATGTGTCTCTTACCCACACCTCTCTGGAACATCAGGAGTCTTAAGATCATATGAGGAGCCAGAAATAAGGCCTTTCCATGTTCATTATCACCCCTCCTTGGAAACAGTGAGAGGAGAATAAGCCACATGGATGACTCTTCCTATATGACCTGTGGATTCTCAAATGCCAGAATAAAGGAAGGAAGCATGCCCCAGCTTTCAGTAGGTCCCACACTCAGTGACATTAGAAATGGCTAAACTAGGCTGAATAATTATAATGCCTATACTATTAAATAATATCCTATTACTTAGTCCTTATTCCAGTGTGTGCAGAGAGTAAGCACTAACAAGATATTCAATAATTTAAGGAATAGTTTTGATTTCTATACCAATTCATACTAGCTATTTACAAACCAATCTGACCAGAGGAAAAAATGATTTCAACTCCAAACGCATAAATCAAAGCCTGAAGAAAAAAAAATCATGCTTGAACCTTGCCAAAAGAACATTTCCTTGGCTCCCAAAACAAATCTTCCTTTCCTACCCTTTCTGAAACACATAAACCATTATTTATACCCTATTCTTCTGCTTTGCCTAATTTGTCAATAAAAGTGTTCTTTAATTTAAAGGACTGTTATATATTAATCTTCTTACAGATATTATTTCTTCACAATAATTTTAACTTTCACATTATATGTATTTTTTCTTGATCAGCATATCCTATTCCTTTCCTCCTGCGTATGTACACAAAACTTCAAACTAACTTTGAATTTGGGGACTCCATAATATTACATATTTTGGCAATAGACACTTTCTTTGCCTAGTGGACTAGGCTGTCTCTAAACTATCCTGACTTTGGAACTGAAGCCTGAGTGGGCCTGATACAATCTTCTCAGCAAAACTCTCATTTCCCAAAAGAACTACTACATGCTAAGTATGACACTTAACTTCACCTTTCCAACTGTTAACACACCCATCACTATGTATTAGAAACACAGACACAGTAGGTTATTTTAATACAATGGCTCTGGAAAGTGTTTTTTAATATTAGTATAACCATCCCAAGATGCCAGTAGATGGATGGTCCCATAAACGCCTTAAATAAATAAATAATCAGGTTTTTATAGTCAACATTTTTAACAAGGCCATTCAATAAGTGGCTGATTTAACATTTTTAACAATTTATAATTTATCTCACCTACTAAAAGCTTTTATGGCACAATACCCAACAGTACACTTTGCACACAGTAGAACAAAAGGGGAGAGTAGTTAGTTTTAAATTTGCTTTAAAAGAATGTTCTGGAACGTCTGAAGTTATACACAGAAATATAGCACCTACAGGACAATTAGGTGCCATAGAACTGGAATAGGCCTGTGCTCACATCTGGGATTTAATAGCTTATTCACTAAAGATGTATCAGCTTTTTATTGTTGTTCAATGTTCCTGCAGAAGAAACCAGATGAAGTCACTGAAGAAAAATTATGTGCCAGACCTATCCCAGATGTTCATTCCATGCACTTCCTTCAACCACTAGCATTTATTGATTTTTCATTATTATTTTATGTTAAAAGATGTGTGGTTTTGGTCAATAATGTAGGTTGATAATATCTGGAAAACATGGATGGAACAAGAAAGAAATGCAAGTCCAAGCAAAAGAATTACAGGAAGAGGTCTTGCCTTTACTAAAAGCTGAGGCTGTGTTCTGCCTTTTGCTATAGGTTTTACTGAAGCAAGTATCCTTATTTGTATTCCATAGTAAAATACTTTATGAAGTGTTAACTACTCTGCAGTACTCTCTTCACAGTAAATACCAGTTGTAAAATCAGCTGCTGTCACTTGTTCTGGCTGCAAGGAGAGTGCAGTGGTTTGCCTTTCTTTGAAGGCTAGATCAGGTGGGAGCAGTGGCTCTACTCCTGGAAATGTTCCCTGCACCCTGCCATTTGTACTGACTTTTGTAGTAGGAATTCCTGCAGGGTACAAGAACACACAGGGTTGAGGAAAAACTATTTCCACAGCCAGCACAACTGACTTTGGGGGCTCTTGAGGAAACTACTAGGGATGAGGCCCTCTCAAATCTAAAAGAGCTTCATCTGGAGGCATGAATCCAGAAGCTGATGTTCGAGGACCCCCGGTCTACCTGTTGGACCATTGAAATGACTTGGGTTTCTATTTTGTCCCCAAGGTTTTTAACGTCTACATGAACCTGTTGGGCGAAAGTCATCTAGAGATCAGGGATTTGAGAAGATGAAAGTGGTAGAAGTGGGAATGAAAGCTTACCATTCCATGGCCACATTCTGTTCCATCAGCCAATGGCATATGCTGAGTACGACAACCGTTGTGAATACCTTCTGCACTTGTACACCATAAACGTTTGCACTGTTTCTATGAAACAAACAAGATTTTCTTTGTTACATGGGTGACACTAATTTATCATCAAAATACAGATGCAACATGTTATATGCATACATTTGTGGCAGAAGGATTTAGAACAATAGGTCTAGATGTCAGGTGTGAAGAATAACCAGGAAGGAAATGTTACTGTTGTTATTGTTAGAGTTGCTTTTGTGGCTTTAGAGATTTGTTGCACTATCATTCATTCATTCACTGCAATTCTATACTGCCCAATAGCCAAAGCTGTCTGGGTAGTTTACAAAGAATAAAACCTTAAAATACTTTATAAAAATTATATAAATGCAAATGTAAATATAGAGCACATGAAGAAACACACACATATATATATAAACAATTTTGAACAATCAACAGCAGCAAAAATTCAAGACCAAATTAAAACCTCATTGTATACCACCTGGGAAAAGGAGGTCTTAACCTGGCAACAAAAAGATAACAATCCTAGCCTCACTGGGGGATCATTCCGTAATTGTTCATTATTGCAAGTTGTCTCGAAACATCAAAGTGGTGAACAGGATAAACATTTTAAATAAATAAATAAATTGATTGATTGGAGTGCTTCCCCTGAGAAGGCTTTCTATTTGATTGCCTTCTTCCTAGCTTCCTTCAGAAGAGGCACCCAGCCTTGGATAATAAGCATTGTGTATGGGTAGGTTTATTTTGGGAGATGTGCTCCATCAGATATTGCAATTTTGAGTCATATTAGGTTTTACAGGTCAAAACTAGAACTTTGAATCAGCCTCAGAAGCATACCGGTAGCCACTGCAAGTGGCCGGAATCAGTGCTGTATGTTCAGATAGTCTTGCCCCTGTTATCATTCTGGCCAGTGCCTTTTGCAGAAGCTGCAGCTTCTGGTACAGTTTCAAAGGCATATCTGTGAAGTGAAATTTAAAGATTTTGTTTCAAGCAAAGATTTGAAACTATTTACAGAAGTATCAACCCCTCTAGCATACAGTTCATGTATAGTTCATTTTATTTCTTTTACCTTTCTCTGTTGAAATTTAACATCTATTAGTGATTGCTGAAATGAGTAGACTTGATTTGTTTTATTGTTCAGAGAGTTAATATATTTTAATGCCTGAGTTTTACTCAGTAAAATTTTGCTAATATCTACCTCTAGCTCTTACCTTTTGTGGGTCACTAATTAAAGAATCTAAATGGACAAGTAGTAAGAAAAGGTGAGAAAAACTTGGTGTACGACATAGAACATGAGCATTATGAAAGCTAGAAAATTCAGCAAGGGAAAAACAAAAGGAAAAAGCAAAACCTTGCCCATCTTCTGAAGATTTAACAATTGTTTCTGTACTATTTTCAACTGTGAGTCAATGGTATTTGTCACAGGCACTGCAAAATATTAAAAATGGTGTTCTGTATCATATTACTCACCAAGTAAGGACATACTTGTGACCCAGGACCAAACATAAGCTCACACTGCTTGTTCACATCATACAGGAAACCAGGGAGTTGTGACTGAAAGTCATAGATTCTTCCATTTGGTTTGTCCAGAAGGCATTCCCCATAACCAGTACTGTAACACATTAAAACAGAATTCTTCTTATGAAGTATCTTGTTTTTGAAATGAACTAACTTTGTGAACAAATTTGAGATGGAGATTGATTTAATGCTATTTCTTGAATGCAGACCAGCTTCCTGCAAGTCAATGCATGGTCAACACAAATGGATTCTCCATGCCCTTTGGACAGCTCAAAGAATGATATTATGACATTGGATGGATAAACATTCACTTCCTATAATGCAATAGACTGAGGATCTAACAACACTTTCAACATGTGTAAATGGATACTTTTAGGGATAGCTTGTCTGTTTTTGTTGAAGAACAACACTTAAATCGTCTTCACAGGGCAAGAAGACTATGAGAGAGACTTTCACCTTTGCATTCCTACAACCTTCCTGTATGCCTGTAACCACCAAGTTCTGATGGGTCTGGGCATTTCCCTGAACAATGAATAAAAAAAACTGCACAAATCCAAGATAAAACTAGCAACAATGAGTACAAGCACTTCTGTATATAACTCTGGTGTAAAACTAAAAGCCAAACCACAAACAAAAGTGCTATGTTAAACATTTTAAAATAGATCTTAAACTGTGTAGTTACTGCTGCCAGAAAATAGAATATAGCAATTTGCAATACATGATTAATGATTCATACCATATATAACACAACCCAAAACTTCAATTTTTTGAAGTTTAATCTTCAAATAGTCCCATCATATGCAAAATTTATCTTTTTCTGAGAAACACTATGGCAACACTATGGAAACACAATCAAATACTCATCAACCAGAGGCCATGCATTATACATATGCACAAAGTTGCTAAGCATGACTCATACTTACTCTAGAAATTCAGTAATGTATTTCTGACTGCATTTTGACCAAGTCCATGGGCTTGAATGGTAATTTAAACTTGGGGCCATTACATGGTATTTATGTTTCATTCCAACTTCCTTACATTTAAAACTGTCATCATGAGGAACATTAAACCTAATACAGCAATAATGCAAAAGAAATTCAGATTGGTTTATTTTACTGTTTAAGAATTAAACTAGTATGGTTAAACTTAATAATAACACCTTGTTAATTGCAAAGTTGTTTAAATAATATAGTTATTTTGGAGGTCTTTTGTCTTTTTGTAAAATCTTCTCTATAACATGTTACATATATACACATACATTTTATATATAAAATGGAATTTGTATGTAAGCAATTTTTTAGAGTACAAATGGACTATTTTAGAATAAGTACTCTACGCATTTTGTGGGAAAGATACTGAAAAGATGTCAACAAGGTCTAACTCTTGGATATTGCAGAAGATTCCCATTTAAATTAATTCTAAAATATGCCAACTCCCAACAATCTATTAGCCCTGGGTATTACGGTGATTAAAAGAATGAGTTACAATATGAATTAGAAAGCCCCAGATTTAAGCCCCTGAAAAGCCAGACTAAAAATTCTTTGAATCAAACATAGCTCAGCTATGTATAATTTAAGGAAAAATTAGTTTGTCTCTTATTTGTAAGGTGCTGCTGTAAGGATTCAATAAAATAACACACTGGAAGCCTCTATATAAATGCTAAGCATTATTACAGAAATAAAGCACTTGCTTGTAAGTGTACATTCTAATTCCTGCAGAAACTTGTGCTGCAAAAGTGACTGCAACATTTCCATGAAAAGAAAGTACAGGATTTGCTTTGTAAAAAGACATACTTACACATGTCCAAGTTCATGTGCTATTGTAAATGCAGCACTTAATCCATTTTCCTCACTGATAGAACAGCTGCGCAGCGGGTCACACATCGTACCCAATTCAGCTAAACCTGGAAAATTGAATTTGTTATCTAAATATGAAAGATGTTATACAGCAACAGTTTTGCCTTCACACACAAAAAATACAGGCCTACAGCTGTTATCCAGACATTTATCATAACACAACCATATGCTTATATCCAGAATCTCAGTACTACATTTTTACTAAACAAGATAAATTACATTAATGATCTGTTTACACTTTAAGGTTTCAGTGTACAATGGCAATACAATTTTAACTCTTATTTGTAGAAAATTGACATTATTGTCTTTTTGCTTGAACTTACCTAAGGTATCACATTTTTCTCTAGCTCTGCAGATATCTTCCCTTAAAGAAACAAAGGTTTTCTATGAAAATGTTACTATGTTAAAAGAGAAAAAAGTAACTCCAGATACCTATACATAATTTCCTGAAGTTGCTACAATTTGAATTCTTTCATTAATTTAAACTCACTCACAGCACATTCTGGCTTTTAAAAGGCAAGTGCGGCATAGCTGTAGAACTCTGCCCCATGCAACTGGTATGTACTGATTTTTACCTTCTGCAGCACAAAGTCACATCTGCAGCTAAAGCAGCTAAATCAGACCATCTATCTGTAATCCCAGTATACTTAGAATTAATATTTGTTAAGAAACCAGTGGCATCAGGTTTCAAGACAGACTGTGGCATGTGCTTCACACTAACATATGGATACAAGTATAATATTCTTTGTCTATCAACTAAAGTTAAAAAATCAGAAACAGGTCATAGAATCAGTCATTATGTATAATCCCCATTCATATAACCCAATTCACACATCACTGTTTAACCCAGGAATTGTATGGATGGGTGGAATACACAGCTCAGCATCTCTGCTTTCAGTTAACAACCCAGTTCACAAGTTGTTTCATAAAGGGCAAACAATGGAATTGTCCACTGTTTGTTATTGTGTTAACTCTGGGTTGTTTGAACCATAAATGGGGATTTCCAGTTTCACACATCACAATACAAGCCAGGAATGGCCAGCTGGGGGTTGTTAATTTAAAGCAGAATCAAAAAGTACTCAGCCTACAAACTCTATGCATCCCCACAATTACTGAGCCAAAGAACCCAGGGATCAAGAGCCCAGGAATTAGCTCTGTAATGAGCAAGCCCACTCTATGCTAACTGTGCTTAATACAAATGTCTGGGTAAAGTGTCTGATATTTTAACATCTTCATGTAAGGTGCTTCAGAGGGATGACCTGGCCAATAAGGTTATAGAGCAGTGAGTATTGTGCTTTTATTGTTGTATTTAATGTTTTCATAATTTCTGTTAACCACTTCAGTGATCTTCTGGAACTAGCATGTAAACCTATGTAATAAATAATAATATAATATGTAATGAGGTCTCCATTGTATTCATAAGTAATAATTATACAGGGTAGAGGTAGTAAAGGAAAATGAGGTTGAGTTATCCCAGATACTATACCTAGTGATAAGAACTGCAGTATCATGATGAGAAGGATGAGAATCATCCAGAATGTTTTGTGTTTGCTGCCATAAACAGAAATTACGAAGAGTGGTAGCTGCATTAAAACTGATAGCTGGTCCTTCCTGTACATAAGTTACCAAGACAAAGCAAACATGTCAATAGTAATTGTGTACTGATACTGTAGCATAAAATCCATTTAGAATTTTATCAGAATGGTACTATTTATGAATTTATGAATCCAGAAACATGAGCAAATGGGTAACCATCAAAACTGATTGACAATGTTGGTAGTAAACCAAACCGCTCATTATAATAACCATTTATGTAAAAATAGGTATTTATTCCTATGTAGTAGGAATAGCTACATAGCAATCCAAACACTTTCATCAATGTATCTGCCTGACATGTTTGTACAAAATACGTACCTCTAAGAAATAACAGTATTATCTTTCTAGTAGAATAGCAGTTACCAAATACCATTTCAATCACTTAAAAATAGCCCTTCCAGGAATAGCAGGTAGATAGAAGGAGTCTTCCTGATGTAGGAAGGAAACTGTTGGAGCCACTGTGACAGCAAAAGTTAAACTGCCTGTACAGCAAACCTTAGACGAAAGCAGTCCCTAACAGGGTCACTGCATTTCCGCAGCTGATGCAGCACTAAATAACCTTTGAAGGAATGCCAGTAGTACATGTGATGGTTTTTCGCTGGAAACATTTCTGCACCAGCTAGTGTCTACTAGGACACTAATGTTGCCCTAGACTTCAGTTAAACTAGCACAAAGTCCATTAAGTCCATAAACATAGCAACCTCAGATGTCACAAATACAACTTCTTTCTTTCTCTTACTCCCTCTTCGAAATCAAACAGAAACTACTTTCCTGTACTTTTAAATTATGAACATGTGAAAGTATTTTAAAATTTACTATAGCAAAAAGTATTCTTAATCATGAAGTGTGTACTTTTTCTTACCTGTTCATTGTGAACTACAATTAATTTTACAATAATAATATTTATTTGATTTCCTATACTTGGGTCTTTGTAGATTGTTGCAACCTAAAAAAAAATAAAAGCCAAACTGTTAATATACTACTATACACTGCTATAATTTTCTATGAAAAGACAAAACTATAGTGATGAATAATAAAAATTTATATTTACTCTACTAAACTGCAAATGCTGTAGGATGGTATTGAAAACCTTAAAATAAATTAGCAATATTTTTATTTATTTATTGTATTTGCATGTTCCCCTATAGCCAGAAGGCTCTCTTGGCAGCTCACAGCACAATCATAACAATGAAACAGATAAAATAGATAATAATAGCTAAAACCATAAAACATAATACAATAAAAATGATATATAAATGCAACAGGAAGATAAACACAGTATAGTCAATAAAATAATAAACCAATAAACCAGAAGCAAGACCAATAAATTATAATCTAAAAACAAGTACTAAATTCAAAAAAGTTTTAACTTGGTGCCAAAAACACCAAACATCATGTGGGCACCAGTTGCAACCCCTTTGGAATTCCCTTGAGCTGTGAGCTGTGACAACTCAGCTGTGAGAAGGCCCTTTTCCTCGCTAATTCCCCCACTCACCTCATTTGGGGGTGGGGGGCTTGTGAAGGAGGGCCTCCATTGATTACCTGAGTGGTCTAGCAGGGATAGATGGAAACAGGTGTTCTTTTAGATAACCCAGTCCCAAGCAGTTTAAGGCTTTATACATTAGCGTGAGTGCTTTGAATTGGGTTTGGGCAAGGACAGACAGCCAGTGCAGTTGGTGGAGGACCAGTGTGATATATTCCCTTTAGCCAGTCCTTGTTAGTAACTGTGCTGCTCTGTTTTGCATTAATTCAAGTTCCTGGACCTTCTTCAAAGGCATCCCCATGTAGAGCACATTACAGTAATCCAGGTGAGAGGTTACTAGTGCATGGATATCTGTGGCAAGGCTCTGCTTGTCCAAGTAGGAATGTAGCTGGACAATCAGCCTAAATGAGAACAAATGAGAACAGAGCAAGGGAGAAAGCTCCCACGCTGCTTGAACAAGCCTGAATACTAAGTCTGATAGAGCACGGAATATCTCTCACTACACTGCAACATTTTATTCCAAGTCCCACTTGCCATGAGATACGGAAGGCTGCTTTTTGAAAGTTGTAGTCTAAAGGCTCTTGAGATCAGGAGTTTTTTGATCTTGGTCTTAGTTCTGGAAGTGCAACCTACATGATAAAAAGATTGCTTTTGCAATCTTTGCAATGGCAGGAACCCAGGAACAACTTTTTGGGAGAGTGGTAGTGATCCTCAACAAATCCCTTGGAACCTGAGTATACATTGGAATGCATATACAGAATGGAGATTTACTTACTATTGACATTAATGTTAATACATAATGTTGCAAGTTCCGTCCATGGTGCTGAACCATTCTAGCATCAGCTGTCACCATTACCTCTACATATCTTGGATAGGAAAGAAAACGTTTTTTCCGGGAATGTGGACTGTTTCTCTCATTCTCTACAGACAGATTTTTAGAAGCATATTCTAAACTTGTGTTCTCTTGAAGAACGTTTATACCTTTCATTAAGCTGCTCTCATACGGAAATAGTAAAGTGCTTTTTTTGGGCTCTTCTGAAAAATAAAATGAAAAATTAGTATTGCATATACAGTTTACAAGAACATTGTATAATGGCTTTTGTAACACTGTGTTTACAATTTTCAATCCTTTTGAAGTCTTCCTCACAGTTTCAAGGATCATGCAGGACCACATGTATTGAGTCAGGGATGAAGTTGACACTAACATGAAGTTAGAAGCTGCCTTATACTTAGTTAGACCATTGGCCCATCTAGCCCAGTATAGTTGACACTGACTGGCAGCAGCTCCTCAGTTTCAAGCAGAAATCTTTCCAAATCCTACCTGGAAATATTAGGAATTAAACCTGGAATCTTCTACATGAAAAGCATCTGCTTTGCACTGTACTATAGCCCTTCTTACATTGTACATATTCTGAGCACAATATCGCTCCCACCCCACCCACCCACACACTTGCCTTTTTGACCATATGTGGAAGGAAGAAATACATTTTTTGTTTTACTGAAGCCTACTCCAAAATCTGGCAAGGTGAAGGCTTACATCTTTGTCTTTTCTTTGATCAACATTCCTTGGCAGCATCAGCAGAGCACATCTGTACAGTTCTTGGGTTTGAGGTGTATGTTTTGGGGGTTTTTAAACAGTATTTCCCTGCATACCTTGGAGAACATCCATAGGAACCTCTAAGACCCTGTATATTTCACCCGCTTTGCTCATCAACATGGAAGGTGTGATTATTTTTACTAACAGTGGACAAAGGAAAAAAGATTACAGCTTCATATCCTCAAAAGACTATCCAAGGGAACACTACCGACAAGACCAAATAAGAATAAAAACAATAAAATTGGGATAGATTACGTTTTTCCCAACCAATATTCACATACATCTAAGTGCACCGGTCAACAGATTCAGCACAGAAATTGTATCATGAACAATGTCAATATATTTATAGCCAATAATCTGGCTTGGAATATTTGAGAAAACTCTTTTTCTGCCACCCAGTAAGTCCCTCGAGATACCTTGTAACATTTACTGCTTCATGAGATCATGGCCAATAATGCTATACTTTGAAAGAAAAGACTCTAGCTTGAATCAGTCTAGCTTAAATCATTCTGGAAATCATTCCAAACAAGGAGAAGGATGTCCTAAACTTGCAATTCTGCCTGAAGGCTTTCCTGTTGCGCTCTACTTCTGTTGTTTTCCACACATAAAGCAGCTCTGAAACTTGGCATGTGCTATGTGCTACATGTACAATTAGAATAAATGTGTTATTCCAAACCCCACTGTTTAGAATCCAGACACCATATGGGAACACCTGTGCAGAGATAGCAACCTTAAACAGACTTCTCCCCTGCCGTCTGTTACCCAGTAACTTAAGAGCCTCTTTAAGTGTGTAATGCTTCTGATTATCTCCCCACACCCATCCAGTTTCAGATTTTCCAAAAAAGATCTTTAACAGAATATATCCTCTTGGCACTACTTTATCACTATCAACAGCAAATGTATTGTGGATATTTTCTTTTCATTAGCTGAAGGGCCAAGATGAAAGATTCTGTTATATGGGACAAAAAGTTGAAAAGGAATAAGTTATGTATGCATCATACAGAATTATCAATTTGCCCATGAACGGGCAATCTCCAAGGCCCATGGGAACATTTGGAAATTTGAGAAATTGTTCTAGGACCAACCATAAAATGGCTGCTAGTCACTAAGGGCAAATAACCTGTCCAGGAGCATTCAGATAGAAATTAAGATAGAATTAAGATAGAACAGCTAAAGACTCCCACTTTCCTTAGAAACACTCTCAGCTGCCAGAATGATAAAATGCAATCTTATTTAAATAAAAATTAGGAAGAGGTGTTTCAGTGGGCGCCACATTGCCTACCCTGTTTTAGAGAAACAAGAATTTTATTGAGAAGTAGCAAGATATAATGCCTTGCAGAAACACTCATTTCCTTGTGACTTTCAACATTTTGTTGTGTTACAAGCTAGAATTGGAATGGATTTGATTGGCCTTGTTACCACATGATGTACATGAGAGCCTCAACAATGTGAAGGTGCAAAATAGTTTCAATTCAGCACAAAAGTTAAATGAACAAAAGCAAACTGGCATTAGCTGCTTGTACAAGTATTCACTTAGTGAGCCAATGCTTGGCAAAAACTCCTTTGGCAACAAGGGCAGCTGAGAGACGTCTTGGGTAAGTTTTTCTGCATCTAGATCCTGTAATGTTTGCCCATTCTTTCTGGCAAGACTGTTCCAGCTCTGCAGGGCGCATGACAATTGCTGGTGAACGTCTTTCAAATCTCACTGTTCTCAATCAGATTGAGGCCCGGGCTTTGACTAGCCCATTCAAAGACATTCAGGTTCTTGTTCTGAATCCACTCCAGTGCTGCCCCTAGCTGGGTGCTATGAGTCACTGCTTTGCTAGGACCTCCATCCCAACAGCTGTGTGCCAACAGTTTTCAATCTCTTTGAGTTTTTTTTTTCTTAATTTTAAACAACCTGAGGAAGGACATATTATTGGCTTTCAGTTGTTACAAATATTCCAATAAAAATTCTATATAATAAGTGTTTTTTATTTTTTTTTCTTGAAATATTTCATTGGTGCAAAAAATTAACATGGGGTATTTTTTTAATCTTGGTTCACCAACTACAAGTAACATAAACCTATTACACTAGCTATCTCTCAGACAGGGTGGGCCATTTGTGCTTCCCCTGTAAATGTTTTGGCCTATGTTTCCAAATCAATCAACTCTAGCCAGCATAGCCAAAACTTAGGAATCATAGGAGCTGTAGGCTAATACTTCCAGGGGGTTACAAGGTGGTTCAGAGTAACAGAATATTTTCTGAGGCAAACTGAAAAATCTTCTGTACAAATGAACCTGATTTTCCAGAAAGTACATGTCACTGATGCAACTGTATAGCCCTTGCAAAAGCAGCAGTTTTCTTGTTAATGTCTGCATAAGCTAGAAGAAAAGTTCCAATACTTCAGTTAAAAACAGAGGATACAGCATCTAAATACAGCATGTTCTTATGGTTGCTGAATGAAGCAACCTCGCAAAACAAATACATCCCTGATACACATTGAAATATCAATTGAACATAGTGGGCAATATCCAATGCCCAAGCACTCACCTACCTGCCTGCTCATACACATCAAATCCAGTACACCAGTGAGACCCACTGCTTGCACTATTGAGATTTAACCCTTCCTATAGGAAACTCCAAAGCAAGCAGAAACTCTTGTTTCTAGATCAGGACAGCACAGCAGAACTATCTTACACAAGCTCTGCTGATCTCTCCTATCCTAGAAATATGCATTTCCATTGACATCCAGTTCCTCCCAGAAGTGCTGAATCTCTATTGTGCAAGCAGTATTTCTCATTTGTGGAACAGAATTAGTGAGGGCACAGTGGAATAAGAGGTGCAGCATTTCCTTGGACTGTGTGCTCAATCCATTTCCAAAATTCTATAAATGGAGATGATGATGATGATGATGATGATGATGATGATGAAGACAATGATGACAACTTTGACCACGTCTAGCAGCCTTCCCCACCTACTGCCTTCCAGATGCTTATACTTCAACTTACTTCAGCACCTGTCAGCAGGAGCAAACATCAGGAATGCTGGGAGCTATATTCCAACACACCTTGAAGGTAGCAAGTTGTAGAAGGCTACCCTATATGGTATGATTTTCTAATAGCTGTACTGAAAAGTAGACACCAGGGGGCACCAAAGGCTAGAGAAGATGTTCTTGGGTGAGCTGAGGAGCAACACCTCAGATGGGAAAAGGTTGTAAGATGGACTAGTATGAAATCCACCCTATACAACCTGAGCTGGAATCTTAGGTTGTATAAGGTTATGCCATTTTTAGAAGCTTCAATAGGACAACAAGTCTGGCTGGATTCACAATCTCTTGAAGACTACATCTTAAGAGTATCTAAAGTGCTAATGTCACAGGAAAAGAGGAAAGACACTTCATTCTTAGTCTAGATACATCTTTGTGAATAAAACTCCGTATGTTAAATCATTGCTAGCTAGTATTCAAGAAAATTCAGGCAAGATGTACTATTCACATTAAATTAAGTTTGTTTGTTTATTTGGAGCATTTTTATCCCATCCTTTACAAAAGTCTCAGCATGCACATTGCATATATTTTCAATCCATGACTTTCTATCAACATTCAATTCTTCAGAATTTCTGAAGGAAAAGAATATTCAAAAATAGTTTATTGTCCTTGGGTTAGATACTATTGAATATCTAAAACATTTTTGCACCAAGGCAGCATACGTTCTGGCTCAAGATAGAATATGCAATTGAATAAAATGCATTCCAGTTTCCTGAGTCCACATAAATGCTCTCAAGTGTGCATACTGCTGTTTTGAACACATCTGTGTTGCTACAGATTTTTTTTCTTTTTTGGCATAAGGAAATAGCTAGCAATGGGGAAATTTGATTCAAGGATCCTGTCTATGAGGGAGGCATAAAGAAGCAGGTTACCATTATTTTGGGCAAGGTAGCTTGATCATGCTTTTCTAATATGTAGGGCTCAAGGCCATCAGCAGCTCCCAACCACCTCAGGTGTGAATCTCTACCGTTTCCTCTCTTTCTTTCTAACAGCTGGTCACTTTCAGCAAAGACTCTCTAGTTTTACTTTGTTGGTTGGCTTAAACCAACCCCTGTGCTCTTGACTACCAGTGGAGTGACAGGAAACCAGCCGCACATCAGCTGGGATGTATGGGAAATGGGGGAAAGAGGGAAAGAGGTCAGCCTGTTAGAGTTCTGTAGGAGGAGACTAACAGGCAAAGAGCAAAGTAATTGGCTGGCTTCAGGTACTCCAAGAGCAGGCATCAGAGGTATAGGGGAAGCTGAATGTGTGGCTGAGAGATAGAACAACCTGGACAGCACTGAGAGATGTTGGCCTTCTCTACACATGGCATTTATTGTGTTCTTGCGATCCTTCATTCATGGCGGTTTGTGTACTGTTTTCATGATGTCACTGTCCTCCAGAGCCTCTCCAGTGTTTTCTAGCCATTTTAGGATTTTCTTTGTTGTTGGTTTGACTTGCTTTAGTTTGTTGTTTTTTAATGCAGTCTGGCATTAAATTTTAAACTGAAACATGCCAGGACCAATTTCTCAGAAGTCAGAAATCTGCTACAGTACAGCTATACCGCAGTACTACCCTATGGTTAGTTATTAAAATATATATGAAAACAAAAAAATACAAATGCTGGGGGGAGAAAAACCCATGTAAAAGGCACATTTTCTTCCCACAATGTGAACAGAAGAAGGAGCCAGCATAAAGCAGTGGTAAAACCCCTCATGTAGAGAAGCCATTTGAAGCAATGGACAGAGCAGAACCATTTCTGAGTTATGAGAAAAAGCTCCATTCGAATCCAAGAACCCAGTTTGCCTGTCAGAATTTACTGGCCTAGTGAGTTGCTGAGTGATGGATGACCACTTGTTTGACTGGACCTGAAGGAAAGAGAGCAGAAAAGGAGCCCAGCCCAGTCCAGTGTGCAGTATCACCACTTCACTGGAGAGGGAGGGAAGTGGAGAGGCCCCCAAGGCCCAGCAAGGGCTCCCAGGTAGCCTTCACCGTGTCTTGAGCCAAAGTTGTACCTGCTTTAAAAAAAAAAAAGAGGAAAAAAAGATTGATTCTCTACACTCAATACAGTGGTGCTTCCTTTACCAGCACAACAGCAATATAACAATGACATGCACCTTTAATAAAGTATTGAGTAGTAAGGTCTGCACAATTTATTTCAGGGTACCAAATTATGAGAAAATCCTGCACCTGAGGAATTGCAGAAAACTACAACCTTACTAGTCAATCATATGGCTAAAGCACGTCCCAAAGCTTTTCTCTACCACCCCCTCTTTAAGAGCAACTGCATTCTGCATCACTCACAGTGGTCTGAAAATTCTTAATCTGTATGCAGGCCTTATGCAGAACACTTGGCAATGGTGCCCCTCTTAAAAATGTATGTGATCTAGTTAAGAGAAATGCTGTGCAGGAAGAATATGTTAAGCAAATAAAACCATTTTCCATATTTTCTGCTGTTTCAACATTTAAAAACTTACATCCAAGATCCAAACATCTTACCCATTGTATACCCTGTCTCAGGTCATCTAATTAAAAATAATACTGCTCCCACTCAGGAATGACTGAAAATTGCTAGTCCAGCTCCTGGGAAAGGAATGGACACTGTTCACTAGCCAACCAAACATGGGAAAAAAGTAATTTGGCTTTATCTGTTGCTTGATCAGCCAAGAGTCACTACACACCTCCAGACTGCAAAACTGGCTAATGAAAAGAAACCATACACTGTGGAATGAATTGAAGGGGAAGAAAAATCACCCGTTCATATCTTCCAATTAAATTTCCAAAGCCAACCAACAACTTTCCAACCTGCTTCTGCAGTCAAGTTCTACTTGGCATTCCCCATACATGTTCCAGTCTTCTCTGGCACTAAGAAGCACAATGCAGAAAACAAAACAGCAACAACAAAAACCCTGCTCTGGTTCAGTCATAACAGCAGCATGCCAATGATACTGCACTATTTAAGATGGAGCTCCTAGGCAACCACCTGCTGCTTAGGAATGTCTGCCAGGTTTTTCAGTACCTATGACCCAAGCAACTGTGTTTTAGTAATCCACCTTTCTCAGGTGTCAGCAGCCACAGGGCAATTCACAACCATACAGATACTAAGAACATAACTGTCATTGGCCCTAACACAGGAAACTGTGAAAGTATAATTTTATGAGATAAGGTGGATCTCTCAAATAAGAATTCCCAGCATCTCACCAAACTGTAGTTCATAGGATTCTTTGTGAGAAGCAACAATGGTTTAAGGCATAGCATATTCTTCAACACTCAGTCTTCAACACTCACTTATAATATCATTAACCCGATAAATAACATGTATTACCTGGGCAGCAACTAACTGCATTCTAATGTAAGTTGTTGTAAATGGCTGACTGAGGGATGCTGGGAGTTCTGGTCCAACATATTGGAGGATATGGATTGAAGAAGGCTGAGTTATCAAAAGGGACTTCTAACATAAAACCAATAACAATAGCTGTCATGCTGGGATTTTTCAGAGAACCCACCACATCAGCAAATGCTATTGCCATTAATCAAACAGTCTCTTATTCTAGTACAATGGAATTTACATTGGTACGAGTGTTTGCTTGAATACTGCTCTTGTTCATAGTAAGCACAAACAACACTTGAGAAAGATACACACTAATATCACTACATAATATATAATAGTGTTAATTATGCTGTTCCTAATACAGAGCAGTGCTATGCATCATTGTTTACAGTTTAGCTGTACCTGAAGTTTCACAAGGTTTATAAGAATTCTCTTTTTTAACAGGCTCATATCTATATATAAGATGCGGCTTGTTATGGTCATCTTCATGTTCATCTCCATCTGGTGTCATCAAAGGTTCTAAGAAGTAATCACCATCATGGGATCTAAATGTGCCCATCTGAAAGTAAAAAAAGAGCAAGTCACTAGAATTGAGCAAGAGGGGATCTTACTTAATCAGCTTTGGAATTTTCCCCAAAATCGTTCCACACATGTGCAAAAAGCCCACATGTGTGATGCACAGAGACCACGAAGAATAATTGGAATGTCAGGTTTATGGGTGCTGGTGCCACATAGAAGCTTCAGTCCTGTATACAGTTGCCTGGAAGAAAGTAGTATTGACCTTAACAGGATTTATTTCTGAGTAGATATGTGCAGTGTAAGATTGTGCAGTTACATTTCTAGCTGGTTTCAATGTATAATTTACATTGCTAATTCCATGTAAATTGCAGCTTATAATTCAAATGAAGATACTTCTAGAATGGTAGAATTCTGGACAAACTCATTAATTAGCAAATAACAAAATGTGCGAGTTACAAACTTCTCTGTAATTCCATAATCTACAAGTGGCTGCATTTTCATTAAGTATTAACGAAGTTACATCAGTCATCTACACAGACACTATCTTAGTGCCATGTCTAATTTTTAAAAATTAATTCTTCAGCATTAAGAATGCATAATAGGTCAACTAAATTAAATGGAACAATACACTAGATAAAATAATCTAGATTATTGCTTAGAACTGAAAAACATCTGAAGTATTTGTAAACTATTGTGAATGGCACACTGAAAGAAGGCCTAAGAGATTCTATAAACAAATAGATCCTTCCTGTTGACTTGAAGGAAGTAACTCCCAATGATTTCAGTAAACTTTACTGCCAAGTAGTAACACGTATGTTTTGACCACTGAACTTTTCCAAATGCTTGAAAAGCCTAAGTATGTATAGCAATTGCTTGCTACTCTGAAATTCAAAGATAAGGACAAGGTTTTCAAGAGAAGAGAGCAGAGCCAGAGCGGTAGACTGGTTTTGGAATGGCATTGTTATGGATTACATCAAAAGAGAAGGTTCTCATCAAAACACAAACCACTAAACTAGTTGTAAAAAGATGTTTTCTCTTTATCCTCATGCACTTCCACACAACACATACTCACACACTTAGACAAGTACCTTCATCTTTCAAACATGAGGATCTCAGCTATTATACAATTTGTAGATGGACAGAGATGATGGTCCATAGATTGATATGTTAAAGACTGATTTAAGTATTGGTCATGATGACAAGAAGAACAGAATGGGACTGACTAAATGGCTCTTTTCCTTCCTAGAAGTAGGCAAAACTGGGATGCAAAGCAAGGACACTGCCTCCCTCCTCCCCACACACATCTGATTCTCTTCCCACCCTCATCAGGAGCTCTTTAGATTAATTCTTGAGAAGTTACGAAGCAGCACAAGTAGGCTCTGGGTTTTGATGAATTCTGACTAAGTAGTTCAGTGGCCCACACAACTGCTTATACAACCAGGTTCTCTTCTTAAAAAACCTGAATGAACCAAGCTTTGTCTATGTCTCTTAGAAACTCCCATGCCTGATTGACGCAGCCCACAAGGACAGGCATGGGAATCAGTGGAGAAGAAAAAGGCAGGATCAGATTAATAAAGGCTATAGTGACCCTGCAAGAGGCCACATGGCAAGCAAGCAAAGGTCTACAATTGGCCCATTGGCTTAGGACCAAGAGGTTCTTGCTGTTTATAAAGAATTAGTATACACTATTTTAAAAGTTATGTTTTCAAATATGTTAGTTCCAAATAGAATTTTAGCATTACTATTGGTTAATTTAAAGTGTCATTACTGCAATTAGTGATACTTTGGGTACATTCAGCTAAACAGTAAACAAGAGCACATAACAAACTTTGCACTCCAGCATAAATCACTAGTTGGATCACTCAAATACCCTTTGTAGATCAACAGCCCAGGACTCTATCAAAGACCATTTTAAAGCCCACTACATAGCCATGAGGTCAAATTCTGCCTTAACGTCTACAAGTTTAACTCTCATTTACTTCAATAGGAGTTGTACAAGCATGAAAGGAACAAAAGCCCTTTGATTTGTGTATACAATATACTAAATGGAAGCATGCATGCTGGAAGGATCTTCTAAATCTCTGAACAGAAAAAAATAGTGCACTGAAATATTTTACATTTTAGCAAAGTGGTGTTTTAATTCTGAACTACATGGGTGTGCACTGTACATAAAATCCTACCCTTATGTTGAACAAAAGCAAAACAGAAAGGAAAGCAACCAAGTGACTATTAACTAAAATGTGTCAGGCTGAAAAAGGACAACTAAGGGCCAATTCTATACATGTTTACACAGAAAAAAATTCTACCACTCCCAGCATTACCCAGCAACCACTTCTAACATCATTCTTACTCATGTTCTGCAACTTGGCCAGCAAGCTAAAATTCAGGTTGTGAAATATTTAGCATTCGTTAGTGGTGCCAGAAAGTTTTACTTAGTGTGCTACAGAAATATACTTAAATCCTATGTAAGTCTTCCAACATAGGGCATGCCACCCGTCTTCTCTCTCACAACAGTTCCAACTTCACAAATAGCCACACAAGAAGTTGCACAATAATAAATATGAATTTAGTGGTGTTAGAAGTTATAAGATTAAAAGCTGCATGCTGGAATTATATTTGCTGCATAATGGTAAAGTTGCAGTTTCTATACCCCATTGAGAATTACAGCCTCTTAAAGGTGGCCTTAAAATAATGTTTAATAAATGTCACAAGGCTGATTCAGTTGTTATTTATCCTAGGGATTGTGAGACATGCACTCAAGTCTCAGGAATGTGTATCTGTCACTATACAATTATTTAACATGAAAGCTCTGTTTGCGTATGTGTGCACATGCATGCAAGCATAAGTGTACATAATTCACTTCATTATTGTCTTTGATACTCTTTTTTGAGCCTAAAATCTCATAAATTACACCTTGGAGAAATAATTTAGTCATACACATTGACTTCTCACAGTTGTCTGTATGATCTTTAAATAATGTTTTTCTGACCACTTTCCCAGGTTCTTTTAACATAGTAAAATAGGGTATTAATTCTGAAAGTGAAAGAAAAGGTCTTTTCTTACAGGTGCAATTGCAATATTCTGGTATAAAACAGTGCCATCTAGAGGTTATTGAACAAAAAAGCAGGAAAGGGTTTCTGAGTTAAAGGGTAATCTGAGTTACATGACAAAATCAAAAGTAGATACAGTGATCAGCAGCCTCATGTAAAAAGCTCCAGCTATGGCCAAATACTTGACTCATGAGAGGTCAAAAATAAGCCCAATGACAGATTTTGAGAAAGTAGTTCCAAAGTTAGGAAATACCCCACTCAGAGCTAATCCTTGTGGGCTGGTGGGTCTAATATCTCCTTGTTCTGTTCCAGATTGCAACCAGCCTAAAGGTTTTTGTTTTTAAGTTTGTGTTGACATTGAATCAGTAGGACCAAATACCCTTTAAAGAAGAAAGTACAAAACTATCACTGCCCGGCCTCTGCCTGGTCAGTAGAATTGCTGCTACATGTGCCAAGAACTAGATCATCTCACCTTCCACCACCAGTGGGACAAATATGTCTGCTGCTCTGCTACTAATGCTAGTATACTTCTGGTTGTAAGGAAATGTTAAATAAGAGAAGTACAGATCCATGAATAGTCTTCAGGAAATTATCTAAGATCCTTTAAACCAGCTAAGTGTTATTTTAAACATTACTATGCTGACAAGCAGAATACAAGAGCAGTATAGAAACTGGGAATTTATTTAAATACAGTATTAATTTCACTTATATAGTAAAAACCAATAGACTTTATTATGTTAAAGTATGTCATATCAAATACTGCTATGGCAAATAGATTCAGCAACAACAATGCAATTTACTTTCAAAAAACTCTCCAAACAAAATTTCAACTGACATATTCCTAAGAGAAACTTACTACTTACACCATAAAGTAAAAGAAAACAATTTATGATGGCATAGTCTCCTGATCCAAAGCAGGAACAAAATAACAAAAAGTAAAATGATTGGAAAATTCTTAACTCTAAAGAGATGGGCTTGTTCTAGCAAAAAAACAACATTGTCTTGTAGCAGCTAAAGGACCATTAAAATATCTTTTCCAAATACTTAAGGTCGAATGAAGGAATTAGCTCTATTGTGGATGACACCCTACTAGTGGAATACCTTGCCAATTGGGCAGTGTGACAGGCAATCATATTGCCGTTTTTTTCTGCATCATCTCAGAAAATCTTTATTACCTAGGCATTGACTGATTAGTGTTTTGATCATGATGGTGTGGTTTTTCTGTTTTTATTCCACCAAACAGTACTTAAATAGTATCGATACATAGATACACCTAAGAATAAAAAATCTTGCTAAATAAATAACATAAGGGGAACAAACCAAGGTACATCTAGTCAGTGTTCCATTTACACAATGGCCAACAAGCTGCCTGAGGGAAACTCACAAAGACGAAAAGAACACCTACCATATCTTATTCCACAGCAACTGTTGTGCATAGTAACTCTGAGAGTGGAGATGCCATATTGTCCTCAGAACCACTAGCCACTGATTCATTTGTCCATTCTTCTGCCTAATCCCCTGTTAAAACCATCCATATTGGTGGCCTCTGTACATGTGGCAGTACTTATAGTTTAACGGTACAATGTATGAAAAAGTACTCCCTTACGTCTATCTTCAGTCTCTCACCGATCAACTCTATGGGGTGACCCCAGGTTATGAGAGAGGTATTATGAGACAGGGAGAAAAATCCATTTTTTCAACACCATTCATAATTTTCTATGCCTCTGTCATGTTTCCCCCTCACTTGCATTTTCTCTAAGCTAAACAATCAAAGACATTGTGACCTTTTGTTACAGTTGAGTTGCTCGAAGCCTTGATTATTTTATTCCCTTTCACTGCAACTTCCTCCAAGTTTACATCATCTTTTTATGTGTAGAGATCAGAAACTGACATGATTCTTGCTATTTTTATTACACTGAATTTATATCCCACCTTTCTTTCTCTTGCAAGGAGCTTACAAGTTTCTCCTCCCTTCTATTTTATCCTCACA